ATTTCTTACTCCAAGATTGACCATTGAATGCATCGTTGTTCAGTACAATTTTTGTTTATATATTTCGGTCACTAATTGGTTATGGTTCTGTAATATGACCTTCAGTAAGTACTGGATAATTGTTCATTTCTATCAACAAGTAACGTATGAAAGGAGTCAGATCAGGAACCAAGCAAAGCTTACTGGCTGGTCGGGTTAATTCTGATATTTTTAAGCAATGTCTGTTTTACTCCAAGATTGATCCTCTGGATGAACTGTTGTTCAGTAGAATTTGGTTTGTCTGTTGTGGTCACTAGTTGATGCTTGATTAAGGTGACGGTTTTGGTTCTGAATTATGACCTTGAGTAATTAAATAGAGTTGAATAGGACAATTGTTCATTATTATTATTATCAACAAGCAATATGTGAAAGGAATGTCATACCTGACACCAAGCATGGCTCACTGGATGATCGGGTTACCTCTGCTTTTCTTTGAAACGTCTTGTTTTACTCCAAGAAAGATCCTCTGGATGGATTGTTGTTCAGCACAATTTGGTTTATCTTTTTCGGACACTAATCGGTTGTGGTTTTGTAATATGACCTTGCGTAATTAAATATACATACACCGGACTATTGTTCATTGTGGTAGCCACCTGTAGTTACCATGGTACCTGCTCGGGTCTTGGTTTTGTAATATGACCATAATTACTTAATATATTTGAACAAGACAATTTTTCAATACTATCAGCAATACAATGTGCAAAAGATGTTCAGATCAGAATCAAGCATGATTCACTTGATGGTCGAGTTACTTCTGATTTTGTTAGCAATATCTTGTTTTACTCGAAGATAGATCCTCTGGATGAATTGTTGTTCAGTAGAATTTGGTTTGTCTATTTCGGTCACTAGATGATACTTGATTAAGGTGATTATTATGGTTCTGTAATATGACCTCGAGCAATTAAATGTAGTTGAACAGGACAATTGTTCATTCGATCAACAATCAATATGTGAAAGGTTGCCAAATCACACAACGAGCATGGCTCATTGGATGGTTGGATTACTTCTGACTTTATTTAGCCATGTCTTCTTTTACTCCAAGATTAATCCTCTTGATGATTGTTTTTCAGCACAATTTTGGTTTGTCTATTTCGGTCACTAGTTGATGCTTGACTCTGGTGCTGGTTGTAGTCTTGTCATATGATCTTGACTAATTAAATATTATTGAACAGTCCTGCAAGATTTATCCACTGGATGGATTGTTGTTCAGTACAATTTTTCTTTCTACATTTCTCTCACTAATTGGTTGAGGTTTTGTGTTATGAACTGGAGTAATTCAATATAGTTGAACAGGACAATTGTTCATTACTATCAACAGTGTGAAACGATTGCCAGATCACACGAGCATGGCTCACTGGTTGGTGGTAGTAACCCGACACTTCTGATTTTTTTAGTAATGTCTCATTTTACTCCAATGTAGAACCTCTGGATGGATTGTTGTTGAGCACAATTTTGTTTGTCTATTTTGGTCACTAGTTAATGCTTGATTATGGTATTGGTTGTGTTCTTGTAATATGATCTTGTCTAATTAAATGTAATTGATCTGTACTACAAGATTGATCCACGGGATGGATTGTTGTTCAGTACAATTTTTGTTTATATATTTCGGTCACTAATCTTGTAATATGAACTTGTATAATTAAATATACTTACACTGGTCTATTGTTCATAACCTGTAGTTACCATGGTACCCCCTTGGGTCTTGGTTTTGTAATATTACCTAAGTATTTATTATATTTGAACAAGACAATTTTTCATTACTCTCAGCAACACAATGTGTCAAAGGATGTTCAGATAAGCATGATTCACTTGATGGTCGAGTTACTTCTGATTTTCTTAGCAATGTCTTGTTTTACTCCCAGGTAGATACTCTGGATGGATTGTTGCTGGGCACAATTTTGCTTGTGTATTTCGGTCACTAATCGGTTGTGGTTTTGTAATATGACCTTGCGTAATTAAATATACATACACCGGACTATTGGTCATTGTGGTAGCCACCTGTAGTACCATGGTACCTGCTCGGGTCTTGGTTTTGTAATATTATCTAAGTATTTATTATATTGGAACAAGACAATTTTTCATTGCTATCAGCAACACAATGTGTCAAAGGATGTTCTGATAAGCATGATTCACTTGGTGGTCGAGTTACTTCTGATTTCTTAGCAATGTCTTGTTTTACTCCAAGATAGATCTTCTGGATGAATTGTTGTTCAGTAGAATTTGGTTTGTATATTTCGGTCATTAGATAATCCTTGATTAAGGTGCTAATTATGGTTCTATAATATGACCTCGAGCAATTAAATGTGGTTGAACCGGGCAATTGCTCATTACTATCAACAATCAATATGTGAAATAATTGCCAGATCACACAACGAGCATGGTTCGCTGGATGGTCTGGTTACTTCTTACTTTATTAAGAAATGTCTTGTTTTACTCCAAGATTGATCCTCTTGATGGATTGTTGCTCAGCACAATTTGATTTATCTATTTCGGTTACTAATTGATACTCGATTATGGTGATGGTTGTGGTATTGTAATATGATCTTGACTAATTAAATGTAATTGATCTGTACTGCAAGAATGATCCACGGTATGGATTGTTGTTCAGTACAATTTTTGTTTCTATATTTCGGTCACTAATTGGTTGAGGTTTTGTATTATGTCCTGAAGATGATCTAAATAAAGATTGAAACGTTGGCACAATAAAGAAAATGTTTCTCTAAACCTACATCCCACAAGACTCTCCAAATAATATTTAAATATAGTTGAACAGGACATGTTCATTACTATCAACAAGCTATGTATGAAAGGAGTGTCATATCTGACACCAAGCATGGCTTGCTGGATGATCGGATTACCTCTGATTGTCTTTGAAATGTCTTGTTTTACTCCAAGAAACATCCTCTGGATGGATTGTTGATCAGCACAATTTGGTTTATATATTTCGGTCACTAATCTTGTAATATGAACTTGTATAATTAAATATACTTACACTGGTCTATTGTTCATAACCTGTAATTACCATGGTACCCGCTTGGGTCTTGGTGTTGTAATATTACCTTATGTATTTAATGTATTTGAACAAGACAATTCTTCATTACTACCAGCACCACAATGTGTGAAAGGATGTTCAGATAAGCATGATGGTCAAATTACTTCTGATTTTCTTATCAATGTCTTGTTTACTCCAAGATAGATCCTCTGGATGGAATGTTGCTCAGCACAATTGGTTCATCTATTTCGGTCACTAGTTGATGCTTGATTATGGTGCTAGTTGTAATTCTGTGTTATGATCTTGAGTAATTAAATATAGTTGAACAGGACAATTGTTCATTACTATCAACAAGCAATGTGTGAAAGGATTACCAGATCAAAGTCCAAACATGCTAGATGATTAGGTTAGTTCTGATTTTCTTAGCAATGTCTTGTTTTACTCCAAGATAGATTCTCTGGATGGATTGTTGCTCAGCACAATTTGGTTTATCTATTTCGGTCACTAATTGGTTGTGGTTCAGTAATATGACCTTGAGTAAGTAAATGTTAAACAGCACAATCGTTCATTAACACCAGATACTACAATCACCACTATCACCACGATTGTAAGATCTGTCACCACGCATGTTGTATGTTTTAAGACGACTTTTGTTTCACACTAATCGGTTTGTAGAAAGTGACAATGATCATTATAGTTTTATCCTTGGAATGAAAGTATTCAATGTTATCATTGTTATCTTTTATTTTAGATCCAAGGAAAGGTTAAATGTCACCAGGCCATATCTGTTTTGATTTTTTTGATGTCAATGAAGACAATTTGATATGTAATTTGTGTAAACAAGCTAAACTTCGAAGTAAATATTGGCATTCACATACACCCAGATAAGACTGGTTATTATTTTGTGATTTGAATTCTGTCCGTTTCCGCTTTTTAGATTAGATAGCGCCTTTTGTTGGAACGGAGTTTTGATGTTGTTTTTGTTTAATAATTTTCTTTTTGTCCAGTGCCGATTTTGAGATGAATTTAATAATTTTCCACCTTCGGTCAGGAAAATCGTGAAAAATCCTTGTTGGAGCGTTGGTTGGATCGATGTCGGGAGTGCGGTCAAGGCTCCGTCGTCAAACGTCAAAACCAGCTGATAGTTCCACTCGGTTGAAGTTTTTGTTTTTTTCGACGTTTTCCCCCGTCGAATTTTCCGCTTTTCTCGTCGGAAAATGGTTTGAGGGTCAACGTTTTCCCCGTCAGATAAACGCGTTTCCTTCTCGCCCAAAAAAATGATCTTAGATGGTGGTTAAGGTATGATAAGTGAAGTTTCTAGAATCGCATCTATGCATTCACGTTGTTACCATGTTTTAACTCCTCCAACGGCAAGTCCTATCCGGCAGAGGAGTTTACCGTTTGTTATGTTTTGACCTACAGTCGGAAAATCATTTTGACGTTAAAGATATTATTTATTGTGATTAGATGAATACAGGTATTCTTTTAAAATGTATCATTTACCATTTTGCTTTGTCAAATGTTGAAAACTTTTCTTTTAACACGGGACTTTTTCAATCTTCTGGGGATGCCGTCTGATCTATGTGCATGCTGTCTGTATCAGAATTGCTGCATGATTGTGTCGAGCTATCTGATAAAACAAAAAAAAAACTTTAAACGCAATTTCACCCTTTCTGTTTGCTTTATTCTCTGCCTAAAGACTACCATTTATTGACTTTAAAATACAAAAACAATCTCAACATTTGCTATAATTATTATGTCAGAGAAATTCATGTCAACATCATTTTACTACGCGCTTAACTTTATCAATTGATTGGTCAGCCTCGTGTTTAAAAATGATAAGTGACACTATTTAAAGCACAATAGAAAAGAAAAGAAATTTTAATGATACCGATGATATTTACGCATTTCTGTTAGTTTGATCGTCTTGATTCTTGTATTCTTGCTGAATGTCCGTCAGACACGATTCAGCTTTTGCCAAGAGATGGCAAACCGATCAAACCACAGGTTTGTAGTCTAGTTCGCTGCTCCATTAAGCATGTTCATTGCTCCATATTCGGTTTTATTTGAAGTACTCAGCCTTATTTTCCTTTATTATTCATTTCCTCAGTTTAAAAACCTATAAATTAACAGTGAACTTTATACATTTCAATGTATTAAAAATACTTATACATTATGCTATACTTATATTAGTCATCTTAATCAAAGTATTTTTAATTAAGTAATTGATTATTGCTAAGTGAGGTTGATAAAAAGTTAGTGTCACGAGCAGAACTTGAACCTGTGAGATATTAATACCCCAGTAGTAGAAATTGTTAGGGATGGTTTGATTTGGTACCCAGGCCTCCAGTGCTGAAGTGCATCCCCCAGTATCTATTGCCTTATCTTAAAATAGTACCTGTCTGACCATCAATTCACAGTTAGTCAGGGCAAATCGATATCCTCTATCCTATTGAAGCTGGCATCTCACAAGAAGGCATTCTTGGACCTATTCTTTACATGATATATACTGCTGACATTCTTATCTTTCTAGAAAAAATCCTCTTCTCCAACCTTCAAAATCATTTTCAGTGCCTCGACTCTTAGCCCAAAAAGTGGAGAATTAAAATCAGTGCAATGAAGAGCCAAAACATTAACTTCACTCTCAGTCCAAGATGTAATTACCACATTTATTTTAACGGGATTTCACTATCTAAAAACAAGCAACTACTTGGTTCTTTACTTGAAAAGCAACTTAACTGGAATTCTCACAAAAGATTAAAAGGAAACAATTTTCACTTAATTACAAAAATTTGATATATATGGCTCTCGAGCCGATGAAAACTTACGGAATCAAACTCTTAGGGTCAACCAAGCATTACAACTTCCATTGCATCCAAAGATTCCGGTCAAAATTACTAAGAAAAATTGCCAACCCTTCTTTTTATGTACCAACCTCACCCTACACCCAGATCTTAATATTCCCTTTTTTTGTCCAAAAGTAGTGAAAACCTATTACAAAAAATTCAATCACTGTTTCCACATAATCCAACGCCTTGGTCCGTCAGCTCAGTTCTACTACCATCCGAGATAATCCTCCCCGTCAACTGATATGACGATGTAGGACAAAAAAAATGAAAAAGTGAAGTCATTATTTATTTCTTTTTATGGGAGGCTCATCACTGGATGAGTTCTCACTTTTTTCATTCAATTTTGTCCTTACTGCGTTTCTACCATTGTTTTACATATGTAAAAATCAATTTTAAAAAAATTTAAAAAGTCAAGGGTTTGAGTCCTGTCTGTGCACTAATTTTTTACCTCAACCTCAATTTGCATAAAAATAATATATTAATGAATCAGTTAAGCTATACATTTAAATATTAACATAATTATTTTATTCTTATTTATTTGTAGCAACTTCTTGAGTGTTGTAGTCTATAGGTCTATAGTGTTGTAGGCATAGAGTAAATAATAATAATTTCACTAGTTAGACTACAGCACTTGGAGGTACCTTCTTACTAAAACTAAATACAGAATAATATAATTTTTTGATATTTTAAGTAATACTGACTACTGATTTATTAGTCATATTAGCTCATAGATATACAAAAGCGTTGAACAGTCTATCACATCTGGCATTCCACTGGCAATTCCAGCTTTTGAAATTTACATTAAAGTACTGGCATGCTTTGAGAATTACCCACCTCGGGGTTGGCAGCCTGGGGTTAGAGCTCAGTCTAATACGTTCAGCCACTGAGGTTGGGCTCCGGGGACTATGATCTGATAGGTCATTTCAGTCCCCTACACAATCAATTCCTAAACCCGTTCACACTCTCACTAATTGTTAAATACATTCTTTCCATTTACCATGACGGTGGTGCACTCGATATTCCTTCATCACCGTCAACACATAACCAATCTAATTGAAGGTCCATGGGGGTATTCAGAATTTTCCCATCGGCCATCTCACACTACACATTCACCCTAATAAATACGTTCAATCGCAATATACGCAGAGAAGCACAAACAAGAAATTTATAAAGTATTATGGGTCTTTTCAGTTATACAACCACACAGCTTAAAATGCAAATAACTTAATGGCTTTTAAAATTAGATATTTTTTCACAGTAAAAAAACTACAGAAAACTAAATGAAAATAACAATTACGTTCCAAATTTTCTGAAGTTTTAAAGAAGAAAATAAGAATAAACTTTTTGCAAGAAGTTTTTCTAGTTTTAATGGAGCTTGTACTAATGTTATGTTCGTCAGCACCTTGTTTTGCCTGTGAATATTTAACAAAAGTATTAAATGATAATTTGTTCCCTTCTAACTGTTTTTCTTGCTCTGGTTACTTGACTTCTTCTTGAGAGACTTCTCTTGTGATCTTTGTTATGTTGACATTGCATTTGTATTTACTGTTGTTTCATACCAGTTAATTATTGAACGTGCAATTTGATCTTTATTAGATCATTTTGGACTGTCAGGCAAACTCAGAGATTTTTTTTTTTTAAATTGTGCTTTTATTGTTTTATTCCATTTACATAAATCTACAGCTAAAAATGAATAAGCTGTTCCCATTAATATTTTATATACGCAGGGTGAGTTTAACTTTCATTCTTCCACTATATTTTTTTTTTAATGGGATGTTTTTGGGAAAAATCTCGATACATTATATTATTTTTTGTCGTTTCTCATGAAGCAAAAAGTTTTGATCTAATTCTCCAGGATAACAGGATGCTTATAAAAACTTAACTATTTCAAATAGTAAGATACTCATCAATGAACATTATTTGAAAGTTTTTTTTTTTTTTTTTTTTTTTTTTAACGATCGTTCCAAAACAACTTACTGTGAGCAAGAACTATCTTTTTAAAAAGGATTGAACATCGCACTCACTCCATTCATCATTTATATTATCACACATTCCATGGAAAATGTAGGGAATATCATAACGAATTGTCCAACACCTTTTTCCTGGCATGAATCCCATAGAATACTTATGGATCATCATACTGAGACGCGTTAGACATCTTTGATGCCTCCAACAAGCATCGATCTTGTCAAAGAATGGTATTCTATTGTTAAACAAGAATTTTGTATGTACAATTAACGCATATTGGTAGTCCTATTCATGCGATGATAGATGCACATATGTGCTAACGAGATTGATGACTTTTTCTTACTTTTCCTTGAACTGTATCATTTGGTAAACAAAACTTTGGGTTAAAATGATCACACGCTGTGGGAAGTAAAGGAAAAAGATTTTCTTAACGTAGAATATTTATGTAATGTTGTAATTCTGGAATAAAGATTGCTATTATTATTAAATTAATTAGAATTCGTGGTCCGATTGACCAAATAACATCTTTCAATTAATTAATCTTTAGTAAGGTATTGGTTGAGATAAAAAAGTCAGTGTCACGAGCGGGATTCGAACCCACGACCTTCGGCTAAATAAGCCGATGCTCTACCACTTGAGCTATCGTGATTTCGATCCACTCGGACACCAACTCCCCAACCCAACCTACCTTTCGAATTTTCCCTCCTTTTTGCCATTTTTCAAATTCGAAAGGTACATTAAGATGGGGCATTTTTTGGAAATTTTGTAACAATTTCCTCACGAATAACTTGAGAATGGTTGTTTCAAATTAAAACATTTGTGCTGATGAATTCGATGTCAACTAACCTTTCAAAAAATTTACATTGATGAGACACTGATGAATTCAGCGTCAACAAACCTTTCAAAAAATTTACATTGATGATATGCTGATGAATTCAGCGTCAATAAACCTTTCAAAAAATTTTCATTAATGATGTGCTGATGAATTCGGCGTTAATAAACCTTACAAAAAATTTACATTGATGAGCATCTTGCAATTTTAAATTGTTAAGTACCTATCTGTACCTCGTTATCCTGGAAAGTTTGATCAAAACTTTTTATCTTATGAAAAACTAGGCAAAAAAAAAAATTTCGTGCCTCTGGGATTTACACAAAAACGCCTCAATAAAAAAACATATAGGGTGTAAAAACGTATAGTTAAACTCACTCTGTATATATTCATATACTTAGAAGGTGGGAAGTTTAGAGGCCCACAAACAGCTGAGGTCATCGTCAGCCTACTACACATATTTACTTCTTTTTCTGACCTTTCACACATATTTGTCAAACTGCAGCGATATTAATATTTTATAAAAAGTTAATAGAACATCAATATTTGAAGAATGTTTGACCTGAGAAAAAGTATGGCTTGATATTTGCAGTTGCCAGCAAATTCATTGGTACTGATTCAGTCTGATATTTATCAGTAATATCGATCATGGTTTTGTGACTGACTGGCTGAAACTGTACTAGTTGAGTGATACAGAGTAATTGATATTATTGACAATTGATTTATAATTTTTATGTAAATTGTTGTTGAGATGAAAAATTAGTGTAATGAGTGGGATTCAAAGAAACAACATTCTTCTCAATACGCTGCTGCTTTAATCACTTGAGCCATCATGAATTCGGTTCCCTGGAACACCAACTGATCATCTCAACAACTTTATCAAATATCACTTTTTTTGCCATATATTCAAATTTTGTGTAAACATTTCGATTTTTGGCGATACTTGAAGTGGCCACTGGGAATCAGTGAAGTGTGGGTACTTCAGTAATTATTTTCATACATGTGTTTTATTTGGTCATATTTAACAAAAGTAATTGTTTAAATTGATTTATAATTTTTATGTAAAGTGTGTTCGAGATGAAAAATAAGTTTCATGAGCGGTACTCGAACCCAGGACCTCTGGCTTGATAATGCTGCTCTAACCACTTAATTGTGACTCCGGTCCCCGGGGGGGAGGGGACTACTCAAGTGGTTAGATCAGCCATATATTGAGCCAAAGATTGCTGGTTTAAGTACTGCTTGTAATATAATCTAAAAATATCATCTAAAAATAATCAATTTAAATCATTACTTTGGTTAAATAGGACCAGCTAAAAAACATATAGATTATTGACAATGTTTGATCATACATTATCGATAGTTACAGGCAATGAGTCTTGTCATTTTTATCTGGTAAAAAGACCTTTTTATCTTCAAAAATATCATATCGTTCATTGCATCAAACAGTATAATAACTGGACAGGGAATAAAAGATAATACCTGACCAATAACCATTTCCTTTGCCAGAATAGTTTCATTTTCGTTTCAAAATCACCATTGTCACTTATCATTTTATAAAATGAGAAACTAACGTTTTCAACAAACAATGAATATGCAAATGCATGCAATACTAGGCCAAACTGTCTTTCTACTGTAAATGCAATTAACTTTACACTTATATTTGGCAGTTTTTTTTCTGGCACATACTCATTTTTTCTTTAAACAAATAATGATTTTAATGTTTTCAAAGACCACTTGAAATAAATTGCTTAGTGCTTCTATTCAATATTTGCAAATACACTGTATGACATTAATAAAATTAATGATATTGTTTTGTATATGGCACAATGTAATGCTTTATACATTGGCTGTTACAAGATTTAGATATGTGTCTCATAAATGAACTGAAAGATCAATAGAATCAAGATAAAATGTATAAACCAGTGTTGAAAAAACAAGTAATCCTCAGTTAATTTTGAATTTAATTAATAGAACTGAGGATATTAGGGATCAAACAATTATCTTTACTGGGTAAAAGCAATGAAACTTTATAGAAATTTATTGTCACACAGTGTGTACAGAACGCTTAAGTGCAAAGCATAAGAGCATGTCGAAGAATACGCTAGCTCAAAAGTCGTAATCATATATGGCTCTTTTGCTTTTAGACGATAAGAATTAGATTCTAACTTTTTCTAGACAGTCCACGGCTCTAATGGAGGATAGCATAAGTGTCAAATCGAATGATTCAGCTGCAGTGAGTGATGAGTTTGAGATAGTCGGCGGAGGGACAGTAGTAAGTATAATAGAAAAGATGACTTTCCTTATGCCCTGATATTTTGCTAATATTTGAGACCCTGTTTCTTTTTGTACTGATGACTATGAAAGTCGACATTAAGGTGTTTTTATGCTGTTAAATTTGTGGTCACTTTAGGCATTAGTTACTAAAACGTTAGCTTGTTTTATTGAGCACAAATAAATTAGAACACTTGCATGACTGGTCATAAGTGAAGCATTATTGACCCTTTTAACATGTGTAAATAAGTTAAATTTTAGATTGTTCTATTTATTTATATTTAAAATACAAAAAGTCAACATAACCATTGTTCATATTATGCTGGTTTAGTTTATGTTTGTTGTGTATTGGCAAGGAAGGATGTCAAAACTGTGATTTTACAATTGGTGTTTATTCAGTAATTAGATCTAAATGTTTAACGATACAGTAATAAAATATGTATGTTGTGTGGAAAATGTACAAATAATTTACAACTAGGGACCGGATTTATGTGAAATAAAATATATACATATTTATGTATTTTTTTTTTTTACTTTTACAAGTTACACATATTTGTTGAATAATGTGTAAAAAAAAAGAATATAACAAGTTAATAAACTAGAAAATAAATATTTGGAAAATGTGAATAAATGATCAAATAAAAAATTCAAAAATTTTCTTCTTCAAAATTATTTAAAATAATGTACATTTTTAAAGTTTTGAAAGTAAAATTACATCGAACTGGTTTTAAAATGCTTTTGTACCGACTAGAACATTCCAAATCTATGGTCATAATGGTGGCCCAATTGAAGGCTGCAAGAGAATTTTTTTTTACTATTTTCCCAATCAAAATCAAAGCAATAAAAGCTAAATTTTGTATGAGTATGTATTCCCATAATTTAGCCTTTTCCAGGGCTACAGCTAAGGTTTTGCAAAGATGTCCTTTATTTTTGACAAATTTTCATTGTAGTATACGGCGATTTCTATCCAATTCCTTCATCTCGTGGTGGTCTTCATCAGGTTGGGTTAGAAACGATAAATCTGGATAGTTATCCATTAAAACCTTTACTCGGGCTTTACGGAAATTTTTTTCCATGTTTGATATTAAAAAATCCACATCTGAAAATTCATTTAGTATATTATTCGGTGATTCTATGAAAGGCGTGGTCGAGACCCATATTACTAGATGGTATGATAGAAGATACTCTACCTCTTCCCTTTTTCTCAAATTTTTTGTTCATGCCTTGAAATCTTTAGTCCTCTGAAACCCTTTATATTTTTTCCCATAATTGTGTAGTTTATTTTATTAAATATGTACCAAAATATGGATATATATTGAGGTAAAACATGTAAAATAAAATACAATTTATTTTCTTTTAAACGGCATGAAATAAAAGCTTCAAAAACTGTGAAAGCAGCTCAGAAAAAATGTGTGAATACACATAAATCCGATCCCTATTAATTTTACTATTACGTTATAGCAGATATTGTGATGTAATTTTAACAAGTGATTTCGTTCAATTAAAAATAAAAAAAATGATAAGACTCAAAACATAAGCTGACAGATTTTATTTGATTAGAAGTTGCTATTTTATAGGAAAGTAGGTGGGTGTATTGTATGGAAGCGTGTGCCCATTGTTGTAGTTTCGAATGAACGACTCCTCTTGTCGTTCGATGATGTGTGAAATGTGCTCATTAAGTGTGTGTTTTCAGCAGCAGTCGTCATTGCCACAGTTGAAGATTGCCGGTGACGGAAGTCTCGAAGGCCTCTGGCACAGCCTCGGCGAAATGTTGAACGAAGAAATCGACCAGCCTCAAGGGCAGGGCAGTGTGACCCCCCAGCAGGCCTCATCCTCAGGGGATGAAATAGAGGAAATCTGTGAGTTCTTTTTTCTCTCAATAGTTTCTAAAATAACTTAAATTCCTTTATTTTATTTCATTTTAAGTTATTTTTATTATGACAGAAATTGATATTTTATTAACTACACTATAGTATATTCTGCTTCTGATAATTGATAGTTTACGTTTAAAATGGAAAAAATTTGATAGAAGTATTTGGAGAAGAAGGATGATATTGGGATTATCAGCAAGAATGAGTAGAGTGTTAGTTATGAGTGTAATTAAATTTTTGGTGTTTAATAATATTGTGTTAAATCAATAATATAAATGAATGACAGAGAGGGAGGAAGAATGGGTTATTTATTATTTATCTTGAAATATTATTTATTATTAATCTTAATTTATTATTGTTTAAGTTGATTTAATGATTAATTGCTGAATTTGTTATACGCCATTTATTAACCAAAGGGGTTACTTATTTTCAATACTTGCTTTGATTAAATTGCTCACTCAAAAGCCATACAAAAAAAAAAAAATAGTATAACTTTTTGAAAATTTTATTTTCCCCACAGGTGATGTACTACAAGACTGTACAATATTTGACGGTGTCTCATTCCTTGGTGGACTGAGTATAAACGCTCCTAAAAGCGACACTGAAATCCAGAGGAACATTTCTACAATGAACGAACAAGTGGAAGTCGGCATCCGGGTTTCGATATCTATACCGAGCTGCTCCGACGGCTGTGTCGTGTAAGCTTGAAATGGTTTAAGAAAACGATCTGCCCTTTTAACAAAGCTATTTTTAGGATGTACGATGGCCAGACAAACAGCATAATGCTGAAATGTGAAATATGCCGAATATGTTATTTCGCGAAGGGAATCCCAGAATCCAACCGGTCCTGTTTTGCATTTACTTGGGTGCATGGCGACTCCATCGAAAATTCAATTTATAGATGCAACGTGTTTAGATGTGACATTCCAGAAGCGGTATGTTCTCACTTCACTGAAATATCCTTGAAATAAAAACGTTGGACGACTTTCAGGTTGATAAAGTGTCGTCTTGCTTCACGAAAGCTTTCAAAACAATATCAAAGTCGATGACCACTTCTGTCAATGGAGATTTGATGTCTGATCCTGAAATCGCCAATAATTCGGGGAAAATGTTTTTATTGCAACTTACCATGGAAATTAAGGAGGATGATGGGAAGGTACATTTAATCATTTTTAAACATTTTTAATTTAAATAGGTTTGGAAGTGTGAATAATGTTTTAAGTTCAATCTGTGGTTGATATTCCGCAGATAAATGTCTAGTTAAATTATAAAATCCTTTAACATGTTGACTGCATAAGACGCAACATGTACGCCGTACCAACTGTCGTTGGTGTGATAGATGCATAGACTTATTAAACTCTTGCTCTACTTCACCCGATGCAAAATTCTGTTTGGAATTCCTAGGGCCACCTCAGAAAAGGCAAAAATGTTACTTTCTACGGTAGTTTCAATTTTTTTTAACAGGAAGTGATTTTTTTATTTTTCTGTGAAAAACATGTAATTTGCTTTTATGTGTGTTTTGTTACTTTAATTATTTACTCATTTTCAATGATTATGTAAAATAGAGGAAAAATTATTGTAGAAATTCACTAGTTTTCGTTTTCTGCTTGACCAATTAATATCTTTCAGTTAATTAAGGTTTTTAGTTGAGATAAAAAAGTCAGTGTCATGAGCGGGATTCGAACTCTTCGACTAGAACGCCGCTGCTCTACCACTTGAGCTCGCGTGATGGGATTTCAAATTATTGCAGGATTAGTTAGTTAGCTAATTTTGGGTGTTAAAAAAATACATTCATATGTACAAAAAAAATGTCAACATTCCCATCTCAACCTCTCTTTTTTTTTTAAATTTTCCCTCCTTTTTTTGCCATTTTTCAAATGTCGTGTAATCTATTTGATTCTCGCCGACAAATGAAATGGCCACGGAGAGCTTTAGTGAAGATATGCTTCATAACTTATTAAATTCACTAGATTTTGTGGTCTGCTTGACCAATTAATATCTTTCAATTAATTAAGGTTTTTAGTTGAGATAAAAAAGTCAGAGTCATGAGCGGGATTTGAACCCATGACTTTCGGCTAGATACGCTGCTGCTCTAACCACTTGAGCCCGCTTGATGAGATTTCAAATTACTGCAGGATTAGTTAGTTAGCTAATTTTGGGTGTTAAAAAAATAAGTTCATATGTACAAAAAAAATGTCACATTCCCATCTCAACCCCCCCTTTTTTTTTTAATTTTCTCTCCTTTTTGCCATATTTCAAATGCCGTGTAATCTATTTGATTCTCGCCGACAATGACCACGGAGGGCTTTAGTGAAGATATATTTCATTTTAACTTATTAAATTCACTAGTTTTCGTGGTCTGCTTGTCCAATTAATATCTTTCAATTAATTAAGGTTTTTAGTTGAGATTAAAAAGTCAGTGTCACGAGCGGGATTCGAACCCACGACCTCCGGCTAGATACGCCGCTGCTCTACCACTTGAGCAATCTCGACTTTGATCCACTCGGACACTAACTTCCCATCTCAACCCCACCTTTTGAATTTTCCCTCCTTTTTGCCATTTTTATCTCAACTAAAAACCTTAATTAATTCAAAGATATTATTGTATTGGGTTGTCCGGAAAATAATGCAGGATTTTAAGTTTTCATTAAAAAAAATCTATATAAAATATTCTGTTTACGTTTACAGGATTACTCATTTGTATGAATGTCAACACTTATTAATCCTCTTCCAAATGATATTGTTTGTTTACCTCTGTAGCATTCCGCTACTTGGAAATAATTCAGTCATCCTTATAATGTCAAAGCGAGAATTTCGTACGATTTTCTTTTACGAGTTTAAACTCGGCCGAAGCGGAGCCCAAACGGCTAGAAACATTAACCAAGTCTGGGGCGAGGGTTGTGTTAATGAGTGCACTGTGCAAAGGTGGTTTAAAAAATTTCGGGAGGGAGATTTCAGCCTTGAAGATGAAGAAGGTCGTGGAAGGCCTTCCTCTCTTAATGATGATGTTCTGCGATCAGTGGTGGAAGAAAACCCCAAAACAACTGTTCGAGAACTTGCAGAGCAACTCAAAGTCAGTAAAACGACCGTCGCTGACCACCTCAAGGCGATTGGAAAAGTGAAAAAACTCGAAAATTGGGTTCCACACTCATTAAACGATCGCCAAAAAAATCAGCGCTTTGATGTTTGTGCATCACTTCTTTGTCGAAACAAAAATGACCCATTTCTGGCCAGAATTGTTACATGTGACGAAAATCGGAAAGGGCCCATTTTGTTGCATGACAACGCTCGACCACATGTGTCACGTGTAACGTCACAAAAATTATTGGAGCTTGGCTATGAAACTTTGCCTCACCCACCCTACTCTCCGGACCTCTCGCCTACTGACTACCATTTTTTTAGACACCTGGACCACTACTTACAACACATAATATTCAAAAATCAAACGGAACTGGAAAATGCATTTATTGACTTTATCAATTCTAAAAATTCTGAATTCTACTCAGACGGAATTAATAAGTTACCAACACGTTGGGAGAAATGTATTGAGAGTATGGGAAATTATTTTGATTAAAGAACATTGCTTTAAAGTAACTAGTTTCTTTTTTTTTGTTTAATACCAAAATCCTGCATTATTTTCCGGACAACCCAATAGAAAGTAGAAACTACTTTTATTCACCTGTATACCAAATTGAACATTCTGCGGGTTGCCTACTTCATACTCGTACTCCATTCATTTCCTTAGTGCTGCAGGGGATGCAACTGTTACATCATACAATTTATAACACTTAGATACAATATAATAAAATAAACAAATAAAAATCATTTAAATTATTTTTAAGTACCAGTGCCATGGGCCAAGCATAGGAGGCAGTCAACATGTTTAACATACACAATTTACAAAAAAACATTATACACAAATTCAGTAAATATTGTTTATTTTTGTCGTTGTTATGAAGGGTGGCTACAGTACAGTACCCAGGGAAAAGAATTGTTTCAAGTTGAGGAGCAATGTTGGCAAACAGATATGCTTGACAATATCACAAATGGCGTCAGAAACTAAAGAAACACTTGAAGTCAAAAGATGTTTTGGCGTTCTCATTGCTCATGGTAAAAATGTCAAACACAGTGATATGCAACTTTTAGACAAGGTAATCAGAATAATTGTTCTAAAACTCATTTGGTTACAATATTCGTTTGCCGTAGGTGTTGATAGGGACTGACAAAGGAGACAATGGAATGAGTTCGGTAATCACAGGCCTCTGGAATCCAAAAGGAAAGGCATCTTTCAGCCAGCTGAACACGGAAACGTTGAAAGACGAGCAGGTTTATTTGACAGTAGCAGTCGACCTTGTTTTTGGTGGCATACGCGAACCCGTCCGACTGGTTCTTGAGACTCAAGTGAGGGTCTGTTCGAACATTTCGAAAGAAAGGTTTTTCTTCTTTGGTCGTCGTAGCCACATCCAGACTTACTTTCTCAATCTGAAGGAGGTACCAAGTCAAGACGATGGCCCTAACTATGAAGTAGTTAGCATTGAGTCGACCGGCCCAATCGACCGAAACAGGTTAAATATGACCCTGAACAACTTGGCCAACCTTATTAGGTCGCCCAGTCTCACATCTATCGATACGCTAACGCCTAAAGATGAAATGTACAACTCAGGTAATTTGATTTATCATTTTAGTTAATATTTTCTACTATTAATTTTTTTTTGTGTCAGATGGGGATGAACCGATGTTAAGTGGGACTGGAGAAGTAAGCAAGGATTGTTCACTCGATGAACTCGAGTCCTGGAGCGAAGTTTTAAGTAAGTGGGGTGCGACACGCCCTAAGCAATTATCGCAGCTTGTCAAACAGGGAATCCCTGAAGCTCTGAGGGGTGAGGTTTGGCAGAGGTTGGCCAAGTGTGATGATAACACTCTCATGGACAACTACAGGATCCTTATCACTCAAGAGAGTAACTGTGAACAGGTCATACAAAGGGATATTAACAGGACCTTCCCGGCACATGATTTTTTCAAAGAGAATGGCGGTGGAGGACAAGACGTACTATTCAGGCTCTCTAAGGCGTATGCCGTACACGACACGGAAGTTGGCTACTGCCAGGGGTTGAGCTTTCTAGCCGCTACTCTTCTTTTACACGTACGAACATTCACATCAATCATTTGATCGACCTTTAAAATATTTTTAATTTTCTAGATGCCCGAAGAACAAGCATTCTGCGTGCTCCTGAAAGTAATGTACGATTATGGCTTGAGAGAGCTGTACAAAGATGGTTTTGAATGCCTTTACTTGAGACTTTATCAATTAAACAGGTTGATGGAGGTAAGATGGTAAAATAAAAATAAAATGCAGTAGCAAATAAGCAGGATTTGATGCATATTTTTTTTTTTTTATAGGAACATGTTCCACAGTTGTACCAGCATTTCAGGGAAAAGGGTGTGGAATCACATATGTTCGCTTCGCAGTGGTTTCTCACATTGTACACGGCTCGTTTTCCACTTTATTTTGTTTTCCACATAATCGATGTTTTCCTCCTCCAGGGCACGGAGACAGTGTTCCAAGTCGCACTCGCCCTTCTCAAGGTAAACCGAATTGTTTAACGCGCACGGAATTATTTTAATTATTATTAATTATTTCAGATGTGCCAGAAAGATTTGATGCAGCTGGATTTTGAGTGCATACTCAAGTACTTCAGAGTCACGCTGCCAAAGAAGTGCAGAAACCAAGAAGTGTCACGCAGCCTGATGAAGATGGCTTGCAACATCAAAGTGAAGAAACTCAAAAAGTACGAGCAGGAGTTTCTTGCGATTAAAGGTTAGTGACAAGAATAAATCAAACTATAAACCTTTAACAATCTCATAGGAGCTCATTCAGCTAAAATATATATTGGCTGTGTGCATAAGTTTTTTCGGTTTTTTCAAATTTTGTCTTTCACCTTATAAGGGCGATCCTTCATTACCTGCTAGCCCTGTTAGCTCTATGGTGGGAAAATACCTATTGACAGAGATTGATAAAAAAAAGGTAGATCCCAAAGTCAGCCTACAATAAACTGCGTCATGAACGACATGGTTGCAGGTAAAATTCATTTGAGGCATTACTTTCTATATTAGTGATCGTTAGTCGAAGATTATTCAAAAATCGTGAGATGCGGTCTGGTGTGATATAGGTTTCAGAAAAACATTTTATTTATTGAAACGTTGGCACGATAAATAAAATGTTTTTCTAAAACCTACATCACACCAGACCGCATCTCACGATTTTTGGATAATTTTCTATATGAGTTCGATCTCAGACATAGAGGGCCTGTTTTTATTTGGAATTTATGGTGATGACATAGTAAACGAATGTGTGAGTCAACAGTTATTCCAACATTTTTGTAAGGGGACCGCGGTACCCAAGAGGTTAGTGTGATAGACTCTTGGCTCATAGACTTCGATTCCCACCGTCCCCTCCGCCACTTTTTTTTCACGCAACTCTTCCTCCCAAAAAATATGCATCAACACGTTCCTCGGCTAATATGCAAAGTTCATAAGGCCATTAAAAAAATTGTAATGAAGAGAAACAAATCATAAGCTTGCAAGTGGCATGAAGTTGAGGAAAAAATTAATTGTAGCAGAGTTGTCAGAGAAATTTCAGAGAAAATCATACAATAGAAAGAAGAATCCGATCTCTGGGTTACATTGTGAAAACTGGGTTGCCCCATGTCTCTCAGGAACGAGGAAGACTGCATGTTGCGTTTCACACCTGGAAAGGCCACGGGATTACAAAACTATTAAAAGCTGAAAGACCAGCCGCTGCCAACGTCAAAAGCAGGATTGCCACATCATACAATCCTACTGACTTTTTGGTGAGATATTCAAGGAATAATTTATTAGGAACTGTTAAAACAAACTCTTAAGCTGGGTTTTCACTGAGCGAAAAAATCACTTGCGAAATTCCGTCTTGGATTACTCGTTTCCATGAGGTAAAACATTTTGCAACCTAGAGCAGAACAAGGTTTGCATGAGGCATCCATGCTGTTTATAACTACACCAACTGTTCATAAGCGTTTGCTATCATACTTTTTGCCTTTGTCCCATTTTGATACCTTCCATGCATCCTTTCCCTTGTTCTTGTTATGATGGGTTTTAACTTTAGCATACCACAACATTCACTAGCTGTGGTACATTTGGATAATTCGAATGCAGTCCTCCTGGTTCATTCTCATATTCGAGACGAAGAGAGAAACCAACAATGTGAAACACTTCGATGCGCACTCAAAACCCGACAGCTGGTCGATTCACCCTGAAACAGCCTCGCATCAAAAGTTTCACAGTCCTGACTAGATATCTACAAAAGAATTTTTTTTATAACAGTTGCTCAAGCGAATTTTCGCACAATTTAACAGCAGAGGTATACTATGTGTAGATAGAGTGACTTGGGCCAGTTTTGAAAAAAATCATCAAACCTTGTTGAATAAACTCGACTCAGCTGCACTCACTCAGAGTAAAATCACCGCATCAGGCTGGCAACAAAATCCCCATCCTCTATACTTGCCATACCTTGCCCTCTCTGATTTATACTTGCTCTGCTTAAAAGTTAAAGGATTTTTGAACAAAAACCCTCTTTAAATTGGTCTTACAGTGTTGTATTTTATAGAAAATTATGTTTTGGGAAAATTAATCTTTTTAAATATTTAATATTTCCTGCTCAAATTTTCCTAAGTTTTATTATAAAAAAACCTGTTGCCATACAAACAATGTGCAAATTATATTATTCATTTTATCTGAACGGGAAATGATCGCCCACTTCTTGATTAGTTGCATGCTTTTAGAAAGGCTAATAACTTTTAAACCGTGACCAATTCACTCCCACTTGATTCTTGAAACTGTTGACTACCTTATACAAATGTCGTTGAATCCACATTTTCAATACAACCTGTTCAAAATACCAAATTTAATGCAAGAATGGATCAATTTGGGTAAGTTCTTTTGATATAGACAAACCTGAATTTACTTGTTTTGAATGTGAATTAGCATAAAGAATTAAGCCTTGATCTATCTCGTCAAAGCGATAAGCTCTTATCATTGTTACTGAGCTGATGTTTAGAAAAAAATTCTAATTTGCAAACTGCTTACTTAATTTTTCCATCATACCGGTAATATTGTCATGTAAGCAGGGGAGAATAAATGATAATTTTTAATTATTCAATTTTATAGAACAATTGGTTAAAGATGCTTAATCTCTGTTACTTTCCTTTGGCATATTGGTAAAAATGAAGGCCATAAGAAATAAGCCTTTCTCATAAATTGAAATTTTAGCATGGTGGAGTGGAGGATGGAGAAAAAAGATCAGTATGATTGTTGATCAACAGATAGTTCAAATTTGAACTGACAACGCAATAACTTTTTATTTCTATTTACCTTGGGTTTATGTTAACGTTATTGATCAAAATATGTTGAGTTTCACCAATTATCAAATAAGATCATAAAATGAGACTTTAATAGGTGAAAAATTGTAAAAATGAGACTTGCTTTGTTAAAATAAAAATATTTTAATATAAAAGGATAAACAATATCAAGTCTGATCCTGCTGGCTCTTCCTCAAAAACAAATCTTCCTGTAAAAGAACAATATTTGAAAAAAGCACATGGTGATGATTCGGCTAGGACTTACAGGAAAGCCTGCTTAGACAAAGTACATTAAAGTAATCCGCCTATTCATATAATTTTTTTCTTTTGTCTCCTACACACTTTTCCATGACACCAGCACCCAAACTCAGTTTTGTTGGTATACTGTGTGGTAGATCGAGTGTGTATCCAGCCTTTTAAAATACTTTACCGGGGCAAGTTCGATAAGTTTATCTTGGAAAAGCTCCACAACAATTTCATTCATTATTGATGCTGCAAAAATTGTTGGACCTGGCCTAGAAGGTGCTGCCTCATCCTCCATATTCACCTATTACAAATCTGTTCCATCTCTACTTTAAAAAACCATGGCCAAAATAAATATGAAACCGCACTGCAGTAATTTTTGTAGCGAAACAAAATTGTCACAAAGACGACGGGAATCATAAATAAAAACGTTAAAAGCGTAATTGTATGTTTTTTGAGTATTTGTCAACTATAATCTGAGCTTTTGCTATTTTTCTTTTGAATTCATCGATAGATGTGATTATATAGTTAATAAAGTGTTTGTAGTTAGAATGCTTTGAATGTCTAAAAAATTCATTTAAATTTATTTTGTGATATATTATGCATATTTACATATTTTACTTAAATATTGTCTGCATAAACATTTTATTTGTTTATTGTTATATTGCTTTGCTTTACACACATATAGAGAGTATACAATAAATACATAAGTACACATAACATAATAAATAAATTAATTAATAAAAAAATAACAGAACAATGAAATTAATAGTTTTACACATAAGTAAATAATTACTGTAACACACATTTACAACATCACTGAAGTCTATATCACATTCTTTTAAAAATTTATGTATCATTTTATACACATCCACACTTCCAGTTGAAAGCAAGCTTTGCTAGCAAAACGGTCGCTCAAAATTTCTCAGCCTATACACCCTGTCGAAAAATTTCTGCCTCTTCCTATTCTGAGCATGTCAATTGCTTTATGTTTTCCAGTTCATCTCTTGGGGAAGGGTTGCATGAAAAACAAGGGGCAGGGGTGAAGGTTTCTTTAACTCAGAAAACACATGGCTTTGGTTTTGGGTACGGTCTCGGGAAACTGAGGGAATAAATTTTCCATTCGCCTTAAGTTTAAGCAGTTTTGAATGATGGCATCTTCTTCAGTGTCACACACTACTTTGACGGGTCTTTTCTGCAATAATCTGCTTTCCAAGTGTAGAACATTTTAGACCAAATTCTTTATTTAAAGATAAAGAAGAAAAATTTCCTTAACCTTTTGGTAATCCAATTTAACACCGAGGATGGTTAATTTTCTGTTGTCCCTCTCATATTTAATTTCATTTATTTATTTATGTGCTATTACATTTAAATCTCTCTAAGATTATTTAAAGAGATGATATGAACTCTCGGGGTGCTGATTTTTTGCAAAAAAAAGCCCATTCGTAAGTACATCAGACCTTTACCTGTCATCACCTTGTCAGCATCTTAACCGCTGCAACCACTGACACTATCTATTAAAGGATTTAATGCAATACTTCCTTCTTTTTTAATTGCTTGTATAGATCTGAAAATGTACCTCATAATTTTCCATCCTTTTTCATGTTGCTGGACCCTACAACTTTTACTGCAAAAAGCACCTTACAGGGATGAGCATCGTGTCAACGCCTAAACCACTGACACCGTCTTTCTTTTTATTCAAGGGTGCTCTAAGCCCAAGAATAAAATTGATTTTCTTCCTTTTAAAAAATTGTTTTTAAATCCTGATGAAGGAGGTATATTTCTTGAAAGCTTGATGAATGAATGTGTTTTTCTTTCTTTTAAATTCCATAAAAAATTTTAATATAGAATGATATTTAAACATTTATTAAATGTTTTAACAGAGGCTCAGGAAAATGCTGATCAGTACAGCAATGAGCTTGATAGAATGAAATCAGAGTTGCTGAGAAATGAGGAAGAAAAGAAGAGGCTTGAAGAACAAATAACACAGGTTGGAGTAATTAATTTAAGATAAATAACAGACTCAAGTTATGTAAAAAGAAATTGATAATTTGGTATTCAATATTTGTTTGAATTAGTTAAAAGATATGCTGAAAAGAGAAGTTGACAAAGCTGAAAATGACAACGGTAAAAATTCATCAATAATTCAGGGCTATAAAGAAATCTGTCAGAGGTTGGACAGGGAGCAACAAGCAACAAAAGCTTCTCTTAACCAGATTTTGGTTTGTAAAATGTGCACTAATTGTTAGTGCTTTAACTATATGGAGATTTTTTAGTTTGTAATCGACGGTTGTGAGAGGTGTGGGAAAATGGGAAAAATACTTAATGAAAACCCGCCCAATGAGAAGAAAGATGAGGGCAACAATGAATCCCAGCTACTTCACAGGATCACCGAGCTCGAGCTGGATCTGGCAAGGGCCAAGTTAGCCCAGGTCGAGGCCGAATGCACGAACCAGGTATAAATATTATCGAATTTTCCATTCGTTGTTTATAGACCGGTTGAGACGGTTTTTCCAGGATTTGACTCACAAGCTAAGCGCTGCTGTCACTGAACTTCATGCTGCCAAGAACTCTTGGCCTCCTTGGCTCTCCAAGACGCTGACCTCGATCAAAGAGGTTGCTGCTAACAAAGCCACCGCACAGAGAAGGGAGTCGGCACCTGAAACTGTCGACTCGTCATAAATTGTTTCATTACCACATTATATTCTATTCTATATGGTATCTAGTCAGAAATGAAACAATCAAATACCAGTTTTTTTACCACAAGTTGGAAACTTTAAACAAGGAAATTATTTTCTTAATAGAAAGTTAAGAATTAGTTTTTAAATGAAGGAAAATTTTACTCTATTAGTGTAGGGAAATAAAAAATTTGGTTATCAAATAAACCAATGTAGGTGCCACAAATAACATATTGAGATACATAATAAACATTAAGTACTTTATTTTTATTAAAATATCTTCTTCGCGCTCTCTTTCTTGCTCTCCTATCTTTATTTATTTCTTTATATTTGTGCATTTAAAACAATTAAAAGACTTATTTCATTAATAAATGGCCTAGTTCTAATTTTTTTGCTGTTTGATTTTTAATTTATATTTTATTTTACAAGTTTAATGGCATATTGTTGACAAAATTAATGTTAATGTATTTACCGTCCACATAGCAATTTGGATTAAGATTTAGTCTCAGTATTAATTTTTAGAAAAAATAAATAACGTTTAAAAATTAAATATCAAAATTTAATGAAGTCATTCTGATTTTTTTATATTGTTAGGAATGATGTTGATATTGAATTAGAGATTGTTGTTTTTGTGATTATTGTTTTATTTAACTACAAATGTGTACCTTTGTATGTTTTGATTTTCTATTCATTGTGTACAATAATACGTTCCTTAATATAGCAATTGTATCAATGCCTATTATTTGTATACCGTAATGTTAATAAAGAAATGCACTGATCTGTTGTATTATTTGTTTTATATTGGCCATTAAATTTTATTTATATATTTTTTCAAAAATGTTCGTTATCAACTGATTTTTGTTGATGGTTGTTGAACACATATTTCACTGATCACACGCCATTATTTTAACATTTATGTTTGTTTTGTAAACCTTTTATAACTAGAAATGTACTGTTTTTAAAGACCTTGGCATAAAATCTTTAAATGTTTTTAACTTCAAAGTTATACTCCAAAGAATGTTAAACAATTTTTAAAAAATTGTTCGGTAAATGTATTTCCATTTCAACAGTGAAATAAAAGAATTTTCCTAAGGAATTTTTTCCCATTCTGACAACAATAGGGTTCAAGTATGAGACCGTGGTAGTCGTGTGGTCAGACTCAGCTTGTAGACCACATGGTCATAGGCTCAGTAACGACTGTTTTTTTTTATATATATATTGTAAGGATTATTAAAAATAAATAGAATTTGATATAAAGTAATTTAATTAAAGTCGCTAGAATACAAAACGCCGTTGTCCCAAACAACCACAACTGCGCAGTTCTCCGTGCGTACTCCCGTTAGTCCCGTTTCTTTGTTCTTCCCTCTCGTCAACACCAACCCCTCAGCGTTGCCAACCGTCCCAGTGTTGCCGCCGGTTCTCTTCTAATGTTTCGGAGGGGCGCCTCTTTTCCCTCCTCTTGTCCTCTTCCATAACAATATATTTTTTTTTTTATACGCCCCTTCCTGCCAAAAATGCAATGATACAATTAATTCATCTCTCTCTGGCTAACATTGAGAAATAAACCATTAAAAAATAATTGTCATGCATAAGGCTCAACATGTGCATCATGTAGATTTCTGGGTGCGGTCTGCATCCTCTCATATATTCTTTTTAAACTCTCCCTCTACTCCACAGAAATCACGTAGGGTTTCCTAGGGCTGCCCCAGAAAGGGTTAACTTTATCATTTTTTTTTTTTTCAACTGAAAGTGATTTAAAAAAAATATATTTACTGATTACTCTGTGAAAACCTCGTAATTTACTTTTTTGTGAATCGTTTTATTTTAATTAATTGTTTACCCATTTTATATGATCACGTAAAATAAAGAAAAGAAATTGTAGAAAGTTAAAACGCCTTTTATTTAACTACATACCTAAAACGAACATTTTGCAAGTTGCCTACTTCATTTACCTAATGCCGTGGGGTTAACAATGAAAATAGTAATTCAGATATCATGAGATGCGGTCGGGTGTGATGAAGGTTTCAGAAAAACATTTTCTTTATCGTGCCAATGTTTCAATCTTTTATTGAGATCATCTTCAGGGCTCAAAGTGTTTGTCTTCTGTGTTATTGTGCCATTCTTGTGTGTCGTCGGCACTCTCAACACTACACGCAAGAATGGCACAATAACACAGAAGACAAACACTTTGAGCCCTGAAGATGATCTCAATTAAAGATCGAAACGTTGGCACGATAAAGAAAATGTTTTTCTGAAACCTACATCACACCTGACCACATCTCACGATATCTGAATTACTATTGATTAACGGTCACCAATCTCTACACAAATGAAAATAGTTTTTTTTTTTCCAACCATGTAGGTCATTTTCTGCCTTGAAGTTTGCCACAATACCACCCAGGCCATTGCAGGAAACAAAACTGCTGCCCCGTCACAGTAGATAATTTTTTTAACTGATTTTTTTTCTTCACGAAGAATGTTATTCTAATAGGTTTAACATTTTGGGTATGCAATAATAATAATATGTGTTGACTTTTTTTTGTACATATGAATTTTTTTAACACCCCAAATTAGCTAACTCATCCTGCAGTAATTGGAAATCCCATCAAGCGAGCTCAAGTGGTTAGAGCAGCGGCGTATTGAGCCGAAGGTCGAGGGTTTGAATCCCGCTCATGACACTAACTTTTTCATCTAAATCTAACCCTTAGATAAAAAGAATAATTAATTGAAATAATATGGTCAATTATGATTGCTAAACACATGGATTAGTAAACTGGTGTGTTTAGTCCAGGGATAGGGATAGAGATAAAAGAGGTGGCCACATGTGCTCCCCTGTTATTTACAACTCACTGGCCAGCTTCAGGTTATTTATCAGCTCTATAGCTTTGCCAGCGGCTCCTTAGTGTAGGATCTTGCTTGTGGTTTTTCTTGTCCTAGCTGCAAGAACCTGCACATAGACCTTCATAGAAACGTAGAATGTGTTCTGTGGTCTCAACTTCTTCCTGGCAGTATCTGCACAGTGTTTCTTCTGTCTATACTGCTAACAGGCGCATAGGCTTTCTTAAGTGGCAGAGCCCTATCAGGAGTCCAACCAGAATCCTGGTTCGGTTGCAGTTCTCTTCCAGTAATTCTTTTGTAAGTTTTGTGGATGGTCCTATGAATCTCTTTGTGTGCCTCATGCCGTGATATTGTTTCACCTGGTTTTGGACTCATTAAGGATTCATTTTAAGATATTTCTTCTTTTGTGACAGGATGCTAAGCCACAGTTGGGATCAGGACCTAGAAAGTCCATGTTGGCCCCCTTTTTGTCTAAGTCAACCTTTTCATTGTCTCTATGACCCAAGTGTACAGGGACCAGTGTTAGGCAAAAATTAGTCATGATTAATGATTGATCACTCAGACTGTTAGTCATGATTGGTAGTAAGTGACTAATTTAGACATTAGTCGCCATATGTGATTGATGGCTAAATTAGTCATGACTAGTAATTAAATACGAGGCATGACTAATTTAGTCACAATATAGTTAGTCATGACTAAATTTCGATAAATCATGTTCAAATGGGTGCTCAAAAAATGAAAAATACACTTCATCACTTTTAAAAAATTTTCTAACAGAAATTTATTTCATCAAAACGAAAATCCTTCAACACCTTATTTAACAAAAATCAATCTTCCAATTATAAGTAAAACTCCGTCGTTATAAAAAGCCAAAAAATAATGATAATAGTAATAATAAAATAAAATTAAAAAATCCTAGAACAAGCTACGCTTTGAAAAGTAAACATTACTGATACAGTTTACATAACAGATCAATGGAAAAAATATTTCTTTGAATTAAAATTTATTCCACTTAAAAGGAGAGATTTCTACATTATTTGGAAAATACACCTTCTAGGGGTCTTGATTGTAATAAAATAGACATGTATAATAATTATGTAACTTTGGTTTTCGTTTATGATAACAATTTTTGAAGGTTGGCCTTGAGCACGACTCTCATCTCAAAATTTTTATCTGGAGTCGGTTGGATTTTGGTAAGTTGGTCATTGTAGCCAGAGTTGGGCAAAATCAAACTAATTCAATCATGTTTAAATTAATCATTATATGATTTAATCATAATTAATTCAATCATGAGGTATGACTAAATCATATAATGATTAATTTACTCATGACTAATTCAATCATGATTAAACTTCAATCAAAATTCTTAATCATGATTGAATTTGTTTGATTTTGCCCAACTCTGCCAGGGACCCATGTCAGGGTCAGATCATTGGTGTCGCTGACTTCCATCAGGGCTTCCATACAGTTCCAAACACTGCCTTCGCCTTGCATAAGGCTAGGGCCCTGAGTGCTGCCTGGCTGTCAGAGAAAACGGCTTTCTTCCAGGAATGTATTCCTAGTGTGTGATATTTCTCTGGCGCATTGCTCAATCGCTATGATTTCAGTCTGAAAAACTATAGCATATTTACTGAGGTTTACCATCGGTCTTTGAATTCATTCTGAATACTCCAGCTCATGTACCTTTGTCGATTTTGTAGTCATCAGTATACCAAACAGGAGTTTGCCTTTGGCCCATTCTTCCCGTTCTGGTATGTGTTTAATCCAAAAAAATAACCAATATTCTAGATATATATTGTTAAATTTTTTATAGTTTATATTTATTTCTAAATTTAAACATTTTTTTGTAAATTGGGTTAATTTTGTATAATATATATGTTATTATTAATATTTCAATTAATAAAATAAGAAAGGATTTTTTAAACTTTTATAATGGGTTCTCTTGTGTACATTGAAATTAATTAATTTATTTGTTAAACATTTAAAATATCAATCCGTTTACTATTAATATTATTAAAATAATTAACATTTTAAATATAAATTTGATGGTAAATAAAAGAGGCGGGAGGAAGCCAAGTTCCTTCTTCATGTTTCTTCTTTTCGATCAAGCCTTCAGTACTTCGACCTTGTCATTAATTGTAAAATTATTAATTATTATTAATTATGTATTTAAAGTATTTACCTTAGGGAGCGATAATGTATTTGTTTAATCATGATGAAAGTCTTGTAATCCCGCGTTTGCGACCACGGCCATCTTCTTTTATGATAAACGTTATCAGCTGAGGATGTTTACAGTGGACAGGCGATGAGTCCGGCCATCCGGTGTTATGCTAGAATCGGCGTGCCGTCAGCATCGGCGACTATCCTCGAATGGTTATTAATCATAACTTACGCATAACTGACGTTTACCGGGGAGGATGGGCAGATCCGACGTCCCGTTTTAACATGATCGTCACCCTCGTCGTTCTGGTCAAGTACGGCCTTTCGCTCTGGAGGTGCCTGTTCCTGGAGGAGGAGCCCGAGCCGGCCCAGTCGAGGCCGAGCCCTTTTCGATTCGAACTGCCCAGGGTGGAGGCGAAGGCGGTCGTCGATCCGGACAACGAGGATATCAGGTTTTATCCACTCGTCAGCGTCCAGAGGTACGAAACGGTCAAAGAGATCCTCAAAAAGAAGCTCCACTACGGAGGAATCAACAAGGTATCAGACTTTATTTTCCATACGAATCACTTTTGATGTCTTTTAAATTATATCCTGTTAAGACTTACAGTGCTTATACTATTTACATTACTTGCCCAGGTGGCGAAGTTATAACTTATTTACTTTACTCTTACATCTGAAGTATGATGTAAATCAGTGGTTCTGCTGATTTCTTGCAGTGTTCAATGCCTTGTCAAGAAACCAGTTACAAGTTTTTTCTGTTTCTCTAGATTTCTGACATTTCGGTTCTTTCAAATCTTTCTTGGAGACGTTTGGGTTGCCTGGGTCTAAGAAAAAAACTGTCATGACTTAATAATTCTCATCTTATCTCCCTGCTATACAAGATTCTTTGAATTTTATTACTTCCTCTTGTAGCAGTTGTACTTTGTATTTCATACGTCTAAAACATGTCCTTCTACAAAGTTTCATGGTTCTACTGTCTGATAATAAGACAGTTTGTTCTACTTTATAGTCTTTTCCTTGATCAAACATGAAAACTATTACCTAGTCCTGCCAAGTTCTGTTACAATCATTCACGTTGAAAATAATCCCAAACAAACGCCTGGCGAACCTTGCTCTCTTGCCTATTGTTTACCTTTGATATAATGCTAAATTCTTTTACTCAGTTGTTATTGAGAATTAATAATGTCAAGATGGAACGTACCCTTGAACAAAACCGTCATGCCATCATCGCACTGCACAGGCGGGTAAATCAAAATCAGAGATTTTCAAGATGCTGAAATCGTTAGGAATAAATCGAATGTTTGTGGCGCACCATAAATCGCTTCAAAGATACTCTATCTATTAAAGACAAACCAAGGTCCGGCCGTCCTCGCTCTGTGAGGACGAAAAATGCCATCAAAGCGGTTGAAAACCGAATTCGAAGAAAGTGTGAGCAAGGAGACAAAACAAGGGCGAAAAATTACTAAGAATCCTTGAGAAAGTAGTAAAGCTCTTAAGTACTACTCTTTTTTCTGGAACTCATTGGGTCTTCCAACAGAACTCAGCTCCTGCGCACAAGGCCCGAACAACTCAGCAGTGGCTGGAGGAGAATGTTCCGGAATTCATTAAGGCTTCAGATTAGCCCTCGGGAAGCCCAGATTTGAATCCTCTGGGCTACAAGGTGTGGTCCCATCTTGAGCTTATGGGTTGCCACAGGAAACACGCCAATTTAGAGAGCCTCAAGTCCGCTCTGCTAAAAGCAGTTGAGAAATTTCCTCAAGACGTGTTGCATACTGCCATAGATGATTGGCCCCGAAGACGAAAAGCTTGTGTGAAAGGTCAAAGGTGAAAAGGTGGTCATTTCGAGTAATATTATTTTATTTCAATCTTAAAAAATATTGGATTTTTTAAAATAAATTTCTTTTTCAAATTATCAAGTTTCTCTATTCCCTAATGGCCTTTTTTCTTGTAACAGAACTTATGGCAGGACTATGTACAAGTGTTTTCCTGTTCCTCTAGATTTCAGACATTTCTGTTCTTTCAAATCCTGCTTGGAGACGCTTGGGTCTAAGAAAAGACTGTCATCGCTTAGTGTGTGTGTGTGTATATATATATATACTTGTAGCTGTACAAGACTCATTTTGTATTTTATTACTTGCCCTTGTTTGTGGCAGTGGTACTTTGTATTTCATGGTTGTGCTGTATATCTAAAACACGTCCTTCTGCAAAGTTTCATGGTTCCACTGTCGTAATAAAACAGTTTGTTCAACTTTGTAGTATTTTTCTTGCCCAAACATGAAAAGTGTTACAAGTTTTTTCCTGTTCCTCTAGATTTCTGTCTTTCAAAACCTGCTTGGAAATGTTTGGGTTGCCTGGGTCTAAAAAAAGACTATCATCGCTTAGTAATTCTCACCTTATCTCCTCCTATATAAGATTCATCTTTTCATGTTATTATTTGCACTAATGGCAATTTGAACTTTTTTTTTTGTAACAATGGTATTTCATCTACAAAGTTATATGAACCCTCAGGGTTACGGTATTTTTGAAAAAAAAAAAAAAAGCCTAATTGTAAGCATGTCGGGTTCGAATGCAGCAGGGCCGTTGGATTTGAACCAGAGTCCATTACTTTACAGTAAGAAGCACCTTGCAATACTAAATCATTTTGGACACCGATAGCCCGAATTGTTACTTTGTTTTTCAAGCGCTGTACGTCTAAAACACACCTTTCAGCTAAGTTTTATGGGCCCACAGTTATAATAAAACAGGCTCTTCTACTTTGCGGTATGTTCTATGCCTGGTCATGAAACCTGTTAGAAGTTTTTCCCTGATCCTCTAGATTTCTAACATTTCTGTTCTTTCAAATCCTGCTTGGAGATGCTTGGGTTGCCTGGGTCCAAGAAAAATCTGTCTTGACTTAGTAATTCTCATCTTATCTCTTGCTATACCAATGTCTCCTCTATGTGTACTTCTGCAATGATATATAGCTCAAAGTCTGACAAAAAATCAGAGCCTTCTCTGCTTATTTACAGTTTTGCCCATGCCTTGTCAAGTAACCGTTTAAACTTTTCTTTCCGTATTCTGATTTTTTTACAATTCTTGCTTGGAGATCTTTGAATTTTGTTACTTGCCCTTGTGGCAGTTGTACTTTGTATTTCATGGTTGTTCTTTACATCTAAAAAATGTCCCTCTGCAAATTGTCATGGTTCCCACTGTCTGATAATAATTCAGTTTCTTCTATTTTGCAGTACTTTCCACACCCAGACATGAAACCTATTAAAGTGTTTTCCTGTTGTCTAGATTTCAGACATTTCTGTACTTTCAAACCTTTTTTGTAGATGCTTGGGTTGCCTGGGTCTAAGAAAACACTGTCATCACTTAATTCTCACCTTATCTCCTGCTATACAAGACAACTTTGAATTTTATTACTTGCCCTTGTGGCCATTTCTAATTTTTTTTCTTTTAAACAAGGGTATTTCAATTTTGAGGTTATATGAAGACTGTCATCAATTGCTTCGTAATTCTTACCTTATACATACAAAACTATATACTTTTAGCTATACAAGACTCATTTTTGTATTTTATTACTTACTCTTGTTTGTGGCAGTGGTACTTTGTATTTAATGGTTGTGCTGTATATCTAAAACATGGCCTGCAAAGTTTTGTGTCTGCTGTCTGATAATAAAACAGTTTGTTCTACTTTGTAGTATTTTCCTTGCCCAAACATGAAAACTGTTTCAAGCTTTTTTTTATTCTTTTATATTTCTGATATTTTTGTTCTTTCAAATCCTGTTTGGAGATGCTTGGGTTGTCTGGGTCTAAGAAAAAACTGTCATGACTTAGTAATTCTCATCTTATCTCCTTACTGTACAAGATTCCTCTTTGAATTTTATTACTTGCCCTTGTTTGTGGCAGTGGTACTTTGTATTATGGTTGGGCTGTACGTGTAAAACACATCTTTCAGCTGTTTTATGGCTCCACAGTCATAAAAAAAACAGTTGTCTAGTTTGTAGTATTTTCCTTGCACAAACATGAAAAATGTTTCAAGCTTTTTTCTGTTCCTCTAGATTTCAGACATTTCTGTTCTTTCAAATCTTGTTTGGAGATGCTTGGGTTGTCTGGGTCTAAGAAAAAACTGTCATGCCTTAGTAATTCTCATCTTATCTCCTTACTGTACAAGATTCCTCTTTGAATTTTATTACTTGCTCTTGTTTGTGGCAGTAGTACTTGTATTTCATGGTTGGGCTGTACATCTATAACACATCTTTCAGCTATTTTATGGCTCCACAGTCATAAAAAAAACAGTTGTCTACTTTGTAGTATTTTCCTTGCACAAACATGAAAAATGTTTCAAGCTTTTTTCTGTTCCTCTAGATTTCAGACATTTCTGTTCTTTCAAATCTTGTTTGGAGATGCTTGGGTTGTCTGGGTATAAGAAAAGACTGTCATCGCTCAGTAATTCTCACTTTATCTCCTGCAATACAAGATTCATCCTTGAATATTATTATTTGCACTTTTTTTTGTAACAATGGTATTTCATCTACAAAGTTATATGAACCCTCAGGGTTACGGTGCTTTTGAAAAAAAGAAAGAAAAAAAAGAAGCCCAATTGTAAGCATGTTGGGTTCAAATGCAGGGCCATTGGATTTGAACCAAAGACCATTTCTTTACAGTGAGAAGCACTGTGTCACGCCGTTTCCAATTTGTACTTTGTTCTTCAAGTGCTGTATGTCTAAAACACGTTTTACGGCTACACAGTCATAATAAATGAAACAGTCTTTTCTACTCTGCAGTATGTTTTGTGTCTGGTTATCCAGATCCATTTTTGAATTTTATTATTTGCCCTTGTGGCTGTTGTAATGGTAATAATGGCGTTCACCAAGAAAAGAGACATAGAAATAAAAGTCCTACGTTTCTATAATGAAATGTTGCAATTAAAAAACGAGGTTATAAAGCTAGAAATAATCTTTGATAAGAAGTTAACCTGGAACACTCACCTGCAGCATGCTATAGCAAAAAGTAAAATATCCCTAATGACCATAGGAAGAACCCTAGGCAAATCTTGGGGATTTAAACCGAAAATGGCCCTCTGGCTATACACTGCAGAAATGAGACCCAAAATAACCGGATCATTTATCTGGTTGACCAAAGCTCAACAAAAAGCTATTCAATCACTAAGCAGTATACATGTTTCATCTATGAATTTATCACTTATTATTATCTCAAGAAATTAGTTAATACTTTTCATCTTCTTTCTTAATGACTGACATCCTGAAATCCCGACATTTTTCAATTCTTGTTTGTAGTTTCATGCCTCATGTTGTGAGTGATTTTTTCCTTATCTTCTGCTATAAAAACATCTTAGGTAGTGTATTCATTTACCCATTTTATTGTTTGCCCTGATGGCAAAGGTTTGTATTTCTTTCTTTTTATTGTCCATAAAAAAACATATTTTTATCTGAACTGTTTGGCTCGACGGTATGATCAGGGGTTCTGCTGATTTCTTGCAGTGTCTTCATGTCTTGCCGAGAAACCAGTTATAAGTTTTTTTCCTGTTCCTCTTGAATTCTGAAATTTCTTTTCTTTCGAATCCTGCTTGGATTGACTTGATATAAGGAAAGTCTGATCAATAAGTAATTCTCTTTTTTCAAGGTGGTCATGATTAATCTACTAACATTCCTTTCTTGGGTGGAAAAGTTTGTACTTATTGTTGCTATGAAAGATGTGCTGTACATCCCAAAATGATTTCTATTTTGAAACTATGTCGCTACGGAGTCTAATAATAAACCAGAGACTCTTCTGCTTATTAGCAGTATTTGCCTTGCTGTCGTGAAACCTGCATAAATTTTCCTTTTGTTTTCCTGCAATCTGAAATTCGTTTTCTATCAAATATTATAACAAATTATATCCAGGCTCTCCCCTCCATGCTAGAGGCAGGAAAGCGAGAACGGATAGTTCAGTCTAGCCTAGGCATTGGAAGAAAAACAATAAGAAAAAAATCCAGCTGAAAGCCAGTCAAATCAGATTTGTATCCACTTTGATTTTTATTAATATAAATTTTTTCTGTTGTGTGGCCCATTTTCATTTATGGTTTTTTGTTTGGTATTTTCCATTTTGATTATCAAGGTTGATTATTTTAATTTTGCTCTTCAGGCCTATATTATTCTCATGGTGTCTAATTATTCTTATATTGTTAGTTTGTAAGCAAAGATTCATGTTTTGTTGTTTTATGTTTTTTAACGTATCTTGATTCATAAGGAAATACATTTTTCGTTTTAAAAGAAACAAAATAGAGGTGTCTCTCTGCAGTTGTGTTCATAATTATTTCAAATTAAAATTCCTTTGATTTTGAGGCAGATCATCGGCCTCAATGGGGTTAATCAAACCTTAAAAGACGGGTTATAATCATTCCTTAAAGGACCCAACAATAAATAGTGGTAGCAGAGCGTGTTGGATTAATTGAAATAATTAATACAATCAATTATCACTGCTAAGCACATATAGACTGAAATTAAATTTGATAATAAAGTGATAAGCGAAAATCATTTTTAAAAAATTTCAAATCGAATAAATATTTTGATTATTTTCAAGGGTGTAAATAAGTTGACAGGGCCCAAATGTTCAGCCAATATGGCGTAAATTCTTTTGCCCAGAAAAATTAAGGGTTGGAGTTGTTTATTAGGATTTTCATGCTAGGGGTAAAATGCGACATCTATAAAATACTTTCCAATTTAACTTTCAGTCTACAAAATTAAAATAATCAACCTTGATAACCAAAATGGAAAATACCAAACAAAAAACCATAAATGAAAATGGGCCACACAACAGAAATAATTTATATTAATTTCGCTAATTTTGTGGTCCGCTTGACCAATTAAACATTACAATTAATTAAGGTTTTTAGTTGAGATTTAGGCACCTCTCGTGCCATTAACTTTTTTTCATCTCAACTAAAAACCTTAATTAATTGTTATTTATATTAATACAAATCAAAGTGGATACAAATCTGATTTGACTGGCTTTCAGATGGATTTTTTCTTATTGTTTTTCTTCCAATGCCTAGGCTAGACTGTACTATCCGTTCTCGCTTTCCTGCCTCTAGCATGGAGGGGACAGCCTGGATATAATTTGTTGTTATAATATCTATTGTCATGTTTTCATTAATTATACCACGTTTCGACTGTACATCTCAAAACATATTCTTTTATGAGATTTTGGTTGTGTGAATATTTTGGAGGTTCGAATATTTTCTTGTAGTATCTTCTGTGCCTTGTCTAGAAACCCATTGCATGTTTTTTCCCTGTTCCTCTTAAATTGTAAAATTTCTTTTCCTACTAATCCTGCTAGGTGATGCTTAGTTTGCATGGGCCTAAGGAAGGACTGTCATTGCTTAGAAATTATACCCTTATCTACTGCTATACAAATGTCTCTTATAGTCTATCTTATATAGAATTTTATTATTTGCTGTTTGACACTTAGTACTTTCTGTTATTTTACTGTTACATTGTATATTCCAAAACATTTTCTTCTGTGAAGCTATAATACACAGTCTGATAAGCTTTCTTTGTAGCATTTGCTTGCTTTGTCCTGTCATGAAATCTGTTTTAAACTTTTCTTTCTGTTTTCTCCGGTATTTTGAATTTTTTTCTTTCAAGAGTTTCTTTTTTTAGTATTACAAGTATTGAACACTGTTTCACTTAGGAACACTCTGGATCCAGGTATGGTTTTGAAGAAGAAAGCAAATTTCTTTGCTACTGCCAAGCTTTTGTCCTATTTTAAGATCATCATCAGGACAAAACAACCTTAACTATTGTCCTGATCATGACCTTAAAATAGGTCGAAAGCTTGGCAGTAACAAGCTTTTTTTTTTTAATTACATTTATTTGTTATTTACAACTGCAAGTGATGTATAAAGTAAATATGTTCGTATATGTTGAATCATTTGAGGCTCTTGTAGGAGAAGTTGCCCAGTGGTAACACTCCTTCACACTGATACCTTGTTCAGTCTTCACACAATGAGAAGGTCTCGGGGCCACTTTCGCTTCAGTCGTCTTGGAGGATTTTGAGGTAGGGTTGGAAGTGATAAATTTCGTTCGAATAGATTACTGTTGTGTTCAGTGATTGTTGAAATTTTTTATATCGGGTTTTGATGAGTTCATGTACAAATGGGATGTGTAGGTCTTTATGGATAGTGTAATTTGAAACGTAAAAAGGAGCATTTATAATTTGACTTGAATCCTTGATTGAGCCCCACACTTCACAACCGTACGCCCAGAGAGGTCTAATCATTGTCTTGTAAATTAAAAGTTTATTTTCAAGGTCTAATTTTGATCGTGAGTCGAGTAGTCTTTTTAACAATATATAACATCGGTTTGTTTGCTGTCTTTTCAGTCTTGCATGGGGATTCCAAGTCAGTCGTTTATCCATAAAAAGTCCAAGATAACGCACAAGGTCAGTGGTAGGCAATGGAATTCCATTTATACTCACCGCAGGACAGACATTTTTACATAAGGTAAAATTGATCTGTGTGCTTTTTGTTAGGTTTACCTTTATTCTCCACTTTGTGAACCATATTGTTAATTCATTCAGGTGTTGTAAGTGTTGAGTGTTAATTGAGGGGTCTGAATTGCGTGTAAGAATCACTGTATCATCAGTGAATGTGTGTCGAAATGTTAACGTGTGTAGGAATATCTGCAGTGTATATGGAAAATAGAAAAGGGCCAAGTATGCTTCCCTGGGGAACCCCCGCCCTTATTCGTATATAAGGTGAGAATTCAGTTCCCTGACGGACTCGACAAAATCAATCCGTCAGATAAGATCTCAATATAAGATAGTACATAGTATAGTAGATAGGCAGTAATAAGCAGCAACAAAATTTGCTTTCTTCTTTTCTGCTTAAATCCAGGGTTTGTAAGATTTCCTTGACATGTGATTTGTAAGAGATTTTTTCCTAATTTTCAGTTTTAAAAATATCTAAGTGTACACATCTATGAATTTATTACTTTCCCGGTGTGCAAAGTTTGTACTTCTTTCTCATAACGCCTCGCAAAAGTTTTCTCTGAGCAAGTGTATCTGATAGTAAATCATGATTTGTTGTCCTTTCAATAAAATTAGCCAAGCTTCCTTTCTGTATACTCTTGCATTCTGAAATTTCTTTTCTTTTAAATCTTGCTAGTCGATTCTTGGATTGCTTGTGAATGGCGAGACTCCCATTTTACCTCACAATTTATCCTATGCTCCAAAAATAGTATTGATATATGTTCTTATCAACAAAAGTAAGTTTCTGTAATCGATACGGTAACTTAATTTGCAGTTTTTTTCATTTAATTTTTATTATCATCATTATGTGAATAATAGCCTTAAATGATGTATAAATAAAACAATTAATTAAGGTTTTTAGTTGAGATAAAAAAGTCAAAGGCACAAGCAGGATTCGAACCCACGATCTTTGGCTTGATACGCCACTGCTCTACCACTTGAGCTATTGTGACCTCAATCCACTCGGACACCAACCTCCCATCTCAACGCCACCTTTTGAATTTTCCCTCCTTTTTGCCATTTTTCAACTGTTAACCTTAATTAATTGTATGATATTAATTGGTCAGCAGACCACGAAACTAGTGAATTTATAAATAAAACTATGATTTAATTTTTGTTTTTGTTTTAAATTTTAATTCAGACCAGTCATACCTCATCATATTTGCTGTTTCTCTCTCCACTGGCATGACATAAATAATAATATACAAATTAATACTTATTAGTTGTAATTGTAAACTGATATTAAACTGAAAAATATTCAGCATTGTTCTTTATTTTTTTTGCTAGGTTGTTGATTTGGGTTGTTCAGCAATAAAGTTTTTCCCCTACATCAGGAACTTGGAAGGTGTCAGAGAGTACATTGCTGTCGACATCGACGAGGATGTGCTGGTAGACTCTAAACGCAGAGTCGAACCCCTGAATGTCGATTTTCTCAAGCGAAGGCCTTTCCCTTTCAACGTAAAAGTTCTACTGGGAAGTGCGAGTGACCCTGATCTCCATCTCAAAGACACAAACGTCATTATTGCCATCGAATTGTATGTTGTTCCCTTCCACAATGTCGTGGCACAATTATTGATTTATTATTTTTGTTTACAGAATCGAGCATTTATATCCTGATGTGCTAGAAGCACTGCCGTATAACATTTTCGGCGTAATCCAACCGGAAATTGCAATTTTCACGACGCCAAATTCTGATTTTAACGTTTTCTTCCCGAACCTCAACGCTACCAAATTCAGGCACTATGACCACAAATTCGAATGGAGCCGGGAGCAGTTCAGAGACTGGTAAATCACATGTTGTAGCATATGTTAATGCACTATTTTGAAAAAAATGGGTTTCAACTGCATTTTTCACAACACAATCACTCAAAATTCACAAAAAAATATTCTCATGGAAGACTTAAGCAGTTGAGCGAACCTGGAAAGTTTTTAATTGTTCCAGGGCAGAGAATTTGACTGTACGCTATCCCAACTACGAATTCGACATCTGCGGCGTTGGACCCGGCCCCGCCGGATCAGAAGACAAATTCGGATGCTGTACTCAATTAGTGACATTTTTTAGAAGGACATTATTTATCGAAAAATCCAATGAATTTAAGGTGATTATTTTCTCTCATAAAGTTTCATGTTTTAAAACAATTCTTGTTTATTAAGCTGTATTTAAAATAGTTCTTTTAAAAGGAAACATTCATAATAAAAGTGATGGATTTATTTTATTAATATAATGGATTTTAATTTGTAAAATTTACTAATATTTTGCCCCTAACATATGCTTTAGATAATTTATAATGCATATTTTAAGAACTTACATCTTGGGCTCAACACTATAAATGTTTGGTGTGTTTAAACATACCCTTATTACTTAGTTTTTTAAAATATTTTTGTTTGTCTTTACACAATTTGTAAAGAACTGTTAGTAATACAAAAGAACTACAACCGAGTGACAAAATTATACACACTTCCCTAATTGTTATGATTTTTTTAATGTAATGGGTTTATACTACAAATATTTATTCAAAACACATGAAATAAATATTTTTCTTCATTAAACTTTAATTTTTCAGTAAATAAGAGAAAAGATTATTAAAATACTAAAATTAAACTCAAGGTTATAATATTTTGTGGCATTACCACTCAGTTTTATTATTTCCAGTAATTAAATTCACTAATTTCGTGGTCCGCTTGACCAATTAATACATTACAATTAATCAAGGTTTTTAGTTGAGATGAAAAAAAGTTAATGGCACGAGCGGGATTCGAACCCACGATCTTCAGCTTGATACGCCGCTGCTCTACCACTTGAGGTATCGTGACCTCTATCCACTCGAACACTAACTTCCCATCTCAACCCCACCTTTTGAATTTTCCCTCATTTTTGCCATTTTTCAAATGCCGTGTAATCGGATTGGATTCTCATTTTTTCTCTCACATTTTTTTCATCTCAACTAAAAACCTTGATTAATTGTAATGTATTAATTGGTCAAGCGGACCATGAAATTAGTGAATTTAATGAATTAAAATGAAGTACACTTCACTAAAGCTCTTTGTGGCCATTTCATTTGTCGTCGAGAATCCAATCCGATTACATGACATTTGAAAAATGGCAAAAAGGAGGGAAAATTCAAAAGGTGGGGTTGAGATAGGAAGTTGGAGTCCGAGTGGATCGAGGTCACGATAGCTCAAGTGGTAGAGCAGCGGCGTATCAAGCCGAAGATCGTGTGTTCGAATCCCACTCGTGCCATTAACTTTTTTTCATCTCAACTAAAAACTTTGATTAATTGTAATTTCCAGTAATCTTTCTGGAATGGTTTTGTACAAATTTTGAATCAAATCTTGAAGCAAATTATTTCAGACAGTGGTGACAGCTGTTTTAAGTTCGTCGACAGAGTTGTACTGCTTACAGTCTTGATATACCATCCTCGATAATTTTCCCCATACATTTTCTATAACGTTCAAGTCTGGTGAGAGTGGAGGCCAATCAAGTTTTTCAATGCTGTTCTGTGAAAACCGTTCTTTAACAATTTTTGCATTGTGTATGGGTTGTTCTGCTGGAATATTGGAGTCCCTTGGCATAAATCGCTGAAACTAGTTTTTTCTTTGTCCAGTAATTTCTTGTAGAATTCCGAATTGACTTTTTTTTGCAAGAAAACAAAGATTCCCTTTTTTATTACACCCAATACACCCCCAAATCATCAAAGATCCACCACCCATTTGGCGCCGTGACAAAATTTTTTCTTTAGTTAGATCATGAAAGTAGTATGCGTATCCATCCGGGCCAAATTGAATTTTTTTTCATCAGAAAAAATAACTTTTCACCAATCTTCATTTTTCAAAATGTGGTTTTCAGCAAATTTGACACGGGCTAGTTTGTGGTAGGGTTTCAGAGCTGGTTTGCGTTTCAGTTTTCTTCGGACTATGTTTTCAGTTTTTTTAAGGAATCTCTGAACAGTTCGAACAGAAACATGAACACCTGCCTTCTCTGCGATGGCTTTTGGATTGGCAGTCAAAAAGCTGTTTGAAGCAATGCGCAGGATGTGCGATTTGTCTCTTCTGGTCAAGGACGGAGGTCTTCCAGAGCTATGCCCTTTTCCATGGTCTTCACCTAGTCGTATTATCTTCGATACCGATGAAACACTTGGTTTTATGTGCCGGGCAATATCTCTGCAGCTCATTCCATCTTCATTGAGCAAGTGAATCAACCGGCGCTCCTCAGAAAATCTTCTTCCTTTGGGCATTTTAAAATAACTTTGAATTACTCCAAATGAACTCACAGTGAATACTGAATAAACCTTTGGAGTTATAAAATAAACGTAAACAAAATGTGTCTATAATTCTGTCGCAGCTAAATCAAAACAATACTGTTTATTGGGATGTACATTTGTATAAGATTATCAGATCAAGCCATTTCCAGAGTTAATTTTCTTTTAATATCATGAACAATATTCTAATGGCAAAAGAAATCATTTTTGACTGTTGAAATCGTGATTTTTTAATGTGTCTATAATTTTGTCACTTGGTTGTATTTGACTATATTTCACATCATCAAATACTTCGAGGATGAATACGTCTAAGTCCTTATTACTTACACTGAAGTGTTAATTGGCAAAAATTTATTCTAAAAATAAATATTTATTATATTGTTAGTAATAAATAACTTTGGCACTTTCTACCAATCACAGTTTTAAACGATTTTTCTAGGAATTTTATAGGATCATCAGGAATGTAGATTACCCATATACGACCGAAGAAGAGCTGAAAGAAGAAATGGTTTCTTCTGAAGTCAGGACATTTTTATGGAATGCTGGTGACTGCTACTTAAACAAAGATAAATTAGAAATTCCCATTTCATCCATTTTGAATCACATAGTTGGAAAAGTACAATGTGATGAAGAATTCTTAAGGTCAGATACTGTTTCACGATTCATTGCAAATCCGTTAATTTTTCAAATTGTCTTGTTATAGATTTACGTTAATTCGTGAAGGTTACGATGTCGAGACTTTGAACGATGGGAGCGATGTGGTTGTTTTACTGCATCATCCTAGTTCATCTGAATCAATCGACTTGGACAATGACGTCAACATCGTAGAATATCAGTCTGCGGCTTGTGTAGAAGAAGAAGATTGGAATAAAACTTATACCAATGATATAATGGAAGAGGGGTATGAAAGTGTTTCTAAAAATGGTTCCACTCCACCCATTTCTAGGGATTTTAGCCCCGTAAATAAATGTCCCGGCACTTCGTCCAGTGATGTGCAGACAAGACATGAAGATTCTATTCACCGTTGTAAATCTTGTGACCAGATTGTCGGCAGGAGCAAGAATAAAAATTTCAGATTCAGTTTGAATATGGAAAAAAACGATGGCTTCGATTGTGCCAGAGGCGCCTGTTCTAGTGATAAAATCGCCAGCTCAGGCAGTATTTCCGACACGATAGGAAGCCACAGTAAGGCGCCTGACAGTGGATATCCAAATTCGATAAACATGGATATGGATTTGACTCCAGAGCAAGTAGAAGAGATTACAACGGAGAGCGAATCGAGCTTTGAAGGGAATGAGTCCGGAGACGAAGAAGTCAGACATGACAACGTAGTGGCTGCAGCTCATTTGTTCGATGATGTTGAGAATGGTGATGTCGCAAACAACAATCGCGATGGAGAAGGCAATAACATGGAAGATAACAGGCAAGTCGGAGAGCCTTTAGAATTCCAACAACTTATACAAGAGGATCTTGCTCAGGCGAATCTCGCCGCAGCCGAGGAGCATGATTCCGAAGAAGAAAGCTTTATCAGTTCTAGTCGTGATGCTCATCTAATCACAGAATGCATATCTACTACAGCCACAATCGGATCTGAAATATTAGCTAGCAGTTATTCTCTTGCAGGAATTCCATCAATTTCTAGATCATCGCCTAGTCAAGAAGTAAACAATTTGAGGGATGAATTTTCTTTCCCAGACTGGCTGCTGAACATAAACGTCATAGAAGAAGCTGACCGAGGTAGAGGGGATGCACCCGAACAAGAAGACGATGATCTGGAATTCGACGACAATCTTGACTTGGATGACATCGACAGCGAGCTGTCTAACGAAATGATCGTACGAGGTGATTTCCTCGGTGGTGGCGACATTTCAGACTTATAATATTTTCGTTTTAACTCCCCCACCAATTGATTTTAATGCTCAACAAGCTTTTTGAGTACATATCAATTTTTGAATTGTGATAATTTTTCCAAATATTAAGTATAAAAATGTCTCGTTTGTTTTATGTTGCTTTTCATTTTTTTTTTTTTTTTTTCATTTCTGGATACAGTATGCCTTAAAAATTTTGACTTTTACTTTTAAACTATGGGGCGAAAGAAGACTGATATCCCAGTATTTGTTTTATTTTTTATTTTTAAAGGTGTTTTTCTCAGTTAAAAAATGACGCTGTAGTACAATAAAACTATGTCATGTCTATAATTATAAAGACAAGAACAATGTACATAAATTTTGTTATGTAATTTTTTTAAACATAAACGATCGTCTTGCTATTTTCTTTTATAAAATTCTCCTCATCCTTAAGCGGCCCATACACTGTCAATATTATTGTACAATATAGATTGCACAATAATTTGACGGTTGCCCCTTAACATTCAATAATATTGCACAAAATTTTGTTTGTGCAATGAATAGTTTGAAGACGATATTGAAGTTTGTGCAATATTTTGTGCACTTGTTGATATTTCACAAACTGACTGATATTGCACAATAATGCCAACAGACGGTGCAATATTTTCATGGTTGTACAATATATTTTCAACTTTTCATAAATCATGCAATGTATTGCACAAACTTTCAATATCATCTACACACGATCAATTAAATTGCACAGCCCAAAATATTGTGCAATAATATTGATCGTCTATGGGCCGCTTTATAACGTAATGTAATTTTTTTAAATAGAAAGTTGAACAATTAAATCTGCATTGGCTTTTAAAGTGTATGTTTAATGGCAAGGTAAAGGTCTCGGGTTCTAATCTAGCGAAACTGCATTCGAATCCGACACAAATGGGTTTTCTTTTCAATTGTTTTTTAAACATTGACATTTGAAATTTTGATTATTTTTGTTTCAGGCATTTGCCATTTGATTCATTTGCAAAATTAGCATGTTCATAATTAATTTAGATTTCTTGTTGAGGGCCTGCTGGGTGATAGATAATCTGGTCGTCCTTTGGTTATTCATATGCATTTCAGCATTTGATTCTGGTCACCATCAGAAATGGTTAAACTACGTTCATGCGCTGTTAAAAATGTGGCCTTTTTTGTGCTGGTTTTATGATAGTAAATTGATAGAGTTGATGATGGGGTTTTTTAAATATTTACGTTTTGGCATTACGCCATCTTCAGTGAGGAACTCTTGAGTGGGGACAGACCCAGTAATATGACCCTGTGCTGGTACAACATGAGTAAATTAATAGTTGAAACATACAAAATAATGGTCCTTCATATCATGAAAAAGCATTAACATAAGAACATGTCTAATATGACTGTAAAGCTTCAGCATTGATATTTTGACTACTTAAGGAATTAGAAAAGTGACACTGTAAAATTCTCAAATTTTAAAACCATATTTTTCACGGTGATCCACAAAATAGATTGACAATTTGAAGCAGTCAGGGAAGCAAGTAACAAGTAATAAGCAAGATCGTCCTGGACGAGTACAAGGGAGTAGCAAGTAGGACCTTGGGAGGTGTCAGATTTCCCAGCTGGAACACTGTCCCATGTCAAACCAGCCCTTCCTAAGACTTTCTAGAGCAAATGCCCAGGGTTGCATCCAAGTTCAAAATTTCTCATATCTGGTTTTGCTTGTTTTTCAAGATAGTGTGCGGCTTGGAAAAGAAACCTGCCGCAAAACTCAGAGTAAGTCGCTCTCTCCGGATTTGGGGTGCATCACCCTCAACTCGCAGCAGAGGCTGGTCCTAAACACAGAGCATATCGAGTCATAAGAGATACGTTTTTTCAGTAGGGTCTCCCTAGCTACCCAGCTTTGATATATACTTCTGGCACCTTAACATTGAATAAGAAACCGAGGAACCGCACCCTATCCATGTACCTTACCAGCACAAGCAGAGTTGAGGTGGGTTCTGAGCCCTCTTCAGTCTGCAAAACTTTAAGCTTATGTAAGTTTTTAGCGACTTTCCAGAGCATCCTTTTTAGATGGCCTGGCTGAATTTCTCTTGATCGAAGGTATGAAGAAAAAAAATTGTGTTTAATATTTTTTTAGTTTAGTTTCAAATTTTTACCTTTTTTTTGTAGAAAAATTATACAGGGTACCTTAGGCCCTGTTCAACTTTTCAAATATTTTTCAAAATTTCAAATTTGACCCTGTACATCCTGACACACACACAAATAGAGATATACCCGGACTTAAATTTTAAGCTTTCTTCTTAATTTTCTTGTACAGGGACTTCGGGTCTCTGATTATGCCAGGCGTTTAACGTTCCTTACAAACGTCGATTTGGGAGGCTGAAGAAAAGGTTATTTCATACATCCTACGCACTAGACTATAGTTTAGGAATTTTATTTTTTTCCTTTTTATTGATTTTTACATTTGAAAACAATTTCAACTGTAAAAATGCGATAATAGTAAAATTGACATGAAAAACATGTGAGGAGAAATCACCCAGTGGTTAGCCTCCTTTAGAAAAAATAAACATGACCACTTTTCAATTTTCTTCATCACTCAGGACGCCTCAGTCAACAGGGAGGATTATCGGGGATGGTAGTGGAACTGAGATGACAGATCAGGGCAATGGGATGAGTGGAAAGGGATTGATGGAATTTTTTGTAATTGCTTTACGCTTCTGGAACAAAGGGAATATAAGGTCTCTGCATAGGGTACAAAATAAGAAGGGTTAACAATTTTTCTTAGGACTTTTGGTTGGAATCTTTGGATGCAATGGGAGTTGGAATGCTTGGTTGACCCTCAGAGTTCGATACCATAAGTCCACATAGGTTTGATAACCATGGTGTAATTAATCTTTTGTTATTAAGTGGAAGTTTTGAGCATTTGTTGAGTACTGGTGAAAACAGTTTCTATTATTTGTTTAGTATGTTTCATTTTATTTGTTTCACAGATTACAAGTGTCGTTGTCCAGGTAGAGTACCAAGTATGAATGTGTTCGACAGGGGGTAGTGAAATCCTATTAAAGTAAACTGTGAGTGAGAAGTTAATGTATTTGCTCTTCGTTGGATTTATTTTCTCCACTTTTTCGACCAAATGTTGAGGCACTGCGAATGGTTTTGTAAGCTTTGTATGCGGTGACTGGATCTGTATGTAAGGAAAAGGATTGCTGTGTCGTCAGTAAAAATGTAGAGAAATGTTTCTGGAAAGATAGCAATATCAGCAGGATATAGTGTGTAAAGGAGAGGTCCTAGAATGTTTCCTTGTGGGATGTCAGCTTGGATAGGATAGATAGAGAATATCGCTGCGCCCTGACTGACTTTGAAATGGCTAGACTGTACGATTTTAGGATAAGTAGTAGAATGCATTTCAGCTCGCACAGAGGATCCAGGTGCCAACCCTGTAAAGGCTTGAGCAATGTCAAGGGAATACGCCTGGTCAACATTGCCTCTGCTCAAGGGAGAATGGAATAATGTCCACAAGGTAATGACATTGATGGATTGTAGAGTGTAGGGTCCTAAATCCAAACTGGTTTACTATTTAAATATTTTAAACGTTTTAATATTTTAAATTTAAATATTTAAAATTTAATTGTTGACCTGTATTGGTAGTATTACCTGTGAGTTCCAAAGAATGTACAATATACAGGGTGAGTCATTTTTTGACGCACCATTTGAAAATCAATGCGGGTGCGTTTAAATCTGACTCGAGGCCTATTTCTTTTGATTTTAACATTAAAAAAAAGGAAGTGAGTCAATTTTCGGTGCACATAGGAAAATCAAGTTGGTGCGTCTAATTATGACTCGGCACATTTTATTTTCTTAGTCTCGTACCAAAAACTAGGCGAGTCACTTTTCGACACACCATTCGTTACAAATTAATTTTAGTAGGTTGGAAGGAAAATAAACCAAACCAATATTATTAAAACATTATTCAAACGATGTAAAAATTAAAAAAAAAAATTCTTCACAAATTAACTTAAGGTTTAAGAGTATTTGTTTCTGGTAAAATAAAAAAATTAAATAAATATAACAATCTCCTTTTTTCTGGTAAAGTAAAAAAAAAAAAAAAAAAATTAAATAAATGTAACAATCTCCTTTGTTATCAAATCAAAAATGTTCAAAATCATTATAATAATTGTTCGAACAGACCTCCATTTGCTGCAACACAGTAGCCTAGTCTATCGTAAAATGATGATCGGACGAAAAAAATACCCTTAAACCTTAATCAGATTAATTTGTGCAGAATTTTTTTATTTATTTTTACATTGTGTTTGAATAATGCTTTAATAATATTGGTTTTGTTTATTGTCCTTCCAACCTACTAAAACTAATTTGTAACGAATGGGGCATCAAAAAGTGACGCCTATTTTTTGGTACAAGACTAACAAAATAAAAGTGCCGAGTCATAATGAGACACACCAACCTTGATTTTCCTATGGTGCACTGAAAATTGCCTCACTTTCTTTTATTAATGTATTAATCAAAGGAAATAAGCCTCGAGTCAGATTTAAACGCACCCGCATTGATTTTCCAATGGTGCGTCAAAAAATGACTCACCCTGTATATGTTATTTCAGATGTTTTTTCACGTTTAGTCATTGAGTCTGTCTAAAAATGTAAATAAAAGCAAATTGCTAAGGAAAATGAAAAATAAAAAAAATAACAGACGGAAAGATAAAATTTGTTTAAATTTTGTTTTAGATTTTTAAATAACAATTCAACATTGTTTCCTCCTATTGCCTTAATTACATCTTGAAGACGCCTCAGCATACTTTCTACCAACCTGGAAATGTCTTTTTGTTGGAGGTCAACCTATACTTCACGAAGAGTCCTTTCAAGATCGTAGTGTTTCAGGAAGTAATGCAAATGGTCTTATTCGATTTTTGAGGTTATCCCATAAATGTTCGATGGGGTTCATGCCTGGAGAACAGGCTACAAGGCTATGACCCTGATGTTATGGTTTTGAAGGTATGTTTGTACTATGCGAGCAACATGTGGACGGGCATTATCGTGCATTAGAATAGGATTGTCGTAGATTTCATCGAGGATAAGCAACACATGATGTTCCAAAATTTCATCCACATAGCGAGTGGCTGTTAAAGACCCTCTCTCGTATTGCATCCAGCCAGTTTTGGTACCTGCTTCTTTACTCAACCGATAGAATATAACCAAATTAAACGACGCTGTGATTTTTCAGAATAATACACTAACAGGCAAAGAATTCCATCCACTTATAAGATAACTTGTTTTGTATATATTTTTATACAGTTATCAAAGTTTGACGATTTTTAGCGTTTAATAATTGAGTCTTTATCTAAAAAGTAAAAGAAAAAGTGCTAAGGAAAATGAAATAAAAGACAGACAGATAAATTTTGTTTTAGACTTTTAATTAACATTTCAATATCGCGCATTTCCTCCTGTTGCCTTAACTACATCTCGAAGACACCTCGGCATACTTTCCACCAGTCTGGAAATGTCTCTGCTGGAGGTTAGCCCATTCTTCACGAAGAGTCCTTTCAAGATGGTGGAGTGTGTCAGGAAGTAATGGACGTGCTCTTTTGAGGTTATCTCATAAATGTTCTGGAGAATGGCCAGGTCAACCTATAAAGAGTCCTTTCAAGATCGTAGTGTTTCAGGAAGTAATGCAAGTGGTCTTATTCGATTTTTGAGGTTATCCCATAAATGTTCGATGGGGTTCATGCCTGGAGAACAGGCTAGCTAGGCTATGACGCTGATATTATGCTGTTGAAGGTAGGTTTGTACTATGCGAGCGTCATTTGGACGGGCATTGTCGTGCATTAGAGTAGGATTGTCGCTGATTTCATCGAGGATAGGCAACATATGATGTTCCAAAATTCCATGCACATAGTGAGTGGCTGTCAAAGACACTACGAACAACAACCAACTGTGCAACTCTCCATTGCAATTCCTGCCCTCACCATGACTGAGCTACGTTAAAAAGGTTGGTTCTGGGAAAAATGACAGGCTTTGTACCTTTTATTTCGCCTTCTCCACACTCTTTCACGCCTGCCTGGAGATCGTAGTGCAAATCTACACTCATCTGTAAAAAGTGCAGCAGGCTAATCGCCCAAAGATCAATGGCTGTGCTCTTGAGCAAATGTGAGCTGCGCAACTCTGTGTGTTCTGGTCAATTCTAGTCCTCTTACAGGGCGAAAAGCCATCAGTCCATACTGATTTAATCTTCTTCGAGCAGTACATTCAGAAATTTGGACACCTCGAACATCCTAGAGCTGATGAATTGCTTAAACATCAGTAAGGTGCCGATTTCGCATTCTAAAAGTCAAAAAATGGTCATCCTGCGGTACTGTTATCATAGGGCATCCAGAACTGGGCCTTCTATGGTAGGACCCAGTTTGTCGAAAACGTCTAACGACATTTCGCAGAGTTTTGTAGGGAACTCCAATGGCAATAGCTGCATACCTGATGAACATCCATTATCAATAAGGGTCACACCATGCACAACATCCTCAGCACTAAGTGACATTTTTAAGTTTAAAAATTGAAATTAAGAAAACAAAGATGAAAATTAAACAGTTTATTGCTTCAGAATTCAAATGAGATTGAATAAGCATTTTTAATTCCATAAAAAAGTAAACATTGAAAAATCCTTTATCCTTTTTTTTGGATTAAGGATTAAGTGTGTTTACCTCTAATTGATATTCCCAGCATAAACAAATATTTATTGGTGAAAACAATGAGACAAATTAAGGGTAGAATTTTCTATTATCGAGAAAAAAAAATCAATTGGGCGGAATTTTTTTCCTGTCAGTGTATGACTATGTTGTATATGTTCTGCCCCAAATATAGTTAATTCCAAACCTGGTGGTTTGTGGGCGTCCAGTCCTTTTCCGTGTTTCGCACGGTATCGGTTTACAAAAGGTAATCTGTAATTCATTGCCATACTAAACCGTCGTGACGGCTCAGCTTTGCGGGCCTCCTAATCCGATTAGCCATCCGGGGGTGAAAACAACCCCCCTTATGCCGTCCCAGGAACCGTGAAATCCAATTCAAACCAATTACGGTGTCGGGGTGTACAACGAAAACAATTTTACGATACAATTAAATTTAATTGATACAATTTGATTTTGGCAAGTACATCTTTAAAGTGATCCACACAGATTACTTCGGCCCCTTTAAGGCAACAAATTTCAACAAGCATTTTTTTTTAAAGTAATTTTTATTTACAACCAATTAAGTTATACGATATATAATATTTTAGAAACTATAGAGAGAGCTAAAGACACATTTTTAAATATAATAACAATTAAATAATTTTTACAATAGGACTTTAAAAGGAACATATATAATATTCTTTTTTTGATTAATTAACGACTTTTGTTATATATATAGTTTAAAAAATTGCATTTTCTCTAAACAGGTAACATTTATCTACAAAAGTAGACCTGGTTTGTTTATCTACAACTAACATTTAAACATTTTCTCTTTAACAGCAATTACACATAAATTTCAAAATCTACATTGGCTGTACTTTATTCGAATTGAAAATTTTCAGACAGTCAAGCTCGATTGAAAGAACAACAGTATGAAAAATAGTCTGGCCGTTAATTTACTGGATTTTAACGACGCGATTAGCCATCCGTAAAATATTCATTTGTCCTACACCCTACAGAAATGTCGGTTTAGCAGGTTTCCAGCCTTTCAAAATAAATTTATACATTTAAATAAAATCTGTTTTACAAAGCCATGAACTTAATACACATTTTTTTTTAAACAGAATTTTTTAAATTTATGGTTGGGACTGGCTCGGAAGAAGTGGTGATGATTCTCATGTAACATGAATTTGTACAAAGTGGAAAATTTTGAACATTTTAAGGTCAAATTCCAACATTTAGCCAAGCGAGAGGGAAACAGTTTTACCCAAGGATTGTAAAGTACAAGAATTGAACTTTTTTTTTTCACTAGAGATATGTAAGTTTTTGATCAAAAGTTCACACAAAAATGTAATGAATTGTCACTACAACATTCAGCAGTTCATTTTTTTATGTCAAATAAGCGTTGATAGTCGAAAAAATATATATTTTCTACACCCTTTGTTAATACTTTTTAAAAAGAGATGTTCAATGAAACGTGAAGTATGTTTTTGATCCCTGTTTGAAGAAACGGTATGAGTGAAAAGTCGACTAAGCTAAGGATTGATCGAGTGAGACGGCGATTTTACTGCCTTTGTCGACCCAGTTTTTAAGGCGACCCCTCAGCTCTTCAAGGGATTTCGATTTAGCTTTGTTGATTCTTTTGTATTTGACATCTTTGGGTTTCGTCACGGATCGATGATTGCTCATGACTCTGTTATAGGTGGTGAGATGGGGAGGAGGGCCGTGGTCCAGTCTTTCGAAGCTGCCGGATAGGTCTTTCAGTTTGGGCGTCCTCTTTTCGGGAGGTGGAGGAGGGTCGGGTTGCTGCTGTGGTGCCGGGGCGTCGCCGTCGCCGTCCTCCTCAACGCTGTACACCGTCTCGAGAATCTCGGGCCTGCGGAGTAGGCAATTGCTTCTTCTAAGCATGGAATATTTGTTGCTGTTTGTGGTTTCGAGCGCGTCCGAGACGCTTCTGATGATCCTGACTCCGTTCGGACACGGCATGGCGAGGTCGTCGTCTTCCATTATGACGGCGCTGTCGCTGTCGTTGAGGGAATCGAGGTTGGTCTCCTCGTTCAGCTCGACGCCTGCGTCCGCAAGACGGCTTTGCAGCTGCTTTATGGCCTTCTGCTGCCTTGTTATGATGCCTTCTCTCTGCGACAAAAGGACGCCGATGTCCCTCTGCTTTCTGCAAAGCCTCGACTCAAAAAGCATCAGCTGCATCGAGAGCTTTCTCAACTGCTCGTTTCTTTCCAGGTTCACCCTTGCTATATGGTCCTCCTGGAAAAACAACAAAACTGTTTTATATACATTATCACATGAATGTTTCATAATCAAATCATTATCCAAAGAAGTAATAACAATTTATCAAGGAACACTTTGGGCCAAGGTATGGTCTTCAAGAAAAAAAAAACAAATTTATAATAGGAATTCGTGTTTATCACCTCTGTAATTTTGCATATAGGAAAAGATGCCAGGTTCATGCATTTAAAACAAACAAAAAGTAGAGCTTTATAATAAAAATGATTAGTACATCGATCCCTGTCTCTAACTACAGAATGTGTCGAACACTCTGGATCAAAGTGGTCTCGAAGAAAAAACCAAATTCAGTTGTTATCGCCAAGCCATTTTAAGGTCATCATCACGGCAAAACCACTATAAAAATGTCTACAGATTGGCACATTTAAGTTTTTTACGGACGATCTCAAATTTTCTAGAAAACCGACTCAGCCCTCAAATTATCATCAGACATCATCACGCATTCAAGCCGTCAAGTGCGAAAATTCGTGGAAAATTTAAACGGCGTTTCGGGCGTTCACAATTATATACTAATAATAATAATACTATATATAACTATAAAGAAATGCAATACAAAAAAAGCAAAAAAAGGAGATCAACATTAATAATAGCAATAGATTTGAGTTCGTCTGTCAAATTTACATATTCAAATACAGAAGAAAACATATTAAAATTAGGCAAAAATATTATATTTTAATAAAACATTAATTAAAATTGAAATTGAACGCAAAACTATCTTAAATTGTTGTCCTGATGATGGCCTTAAAATAGGTCGAAATCTTGGCGATAACAACGGAATTTGATTTTTTTTTTTCAAAATCATATCTTGAACCAGTGTTCCTGTGTGAAAAAGTAGACGATACTTCTAGCATTGAAAATAATATACATGGTTTTAAAAGTATTTAATTATATAATTTTATATTTTTTTCTGCAGTTAATATTGATATCTTCATATATAAATTTAGAAACTGATACTTTAAGTTTATTTATTTTTAAGTTTAAATTACATTCCACCTTTATTGTCAAAACATTCAATGATCATAACAAGTTGGCAAATGTGGTGGCATGTCTGGTTGAAAAGAGCGCAGGAACCCAAAATCCCCATGGATTCAGATAGATTCAGTGGCGAATATATTTTCACATGCATTTTCCAGTCAAATGAAACCTTCTTTCAAGCAAATGAAACCATTTTCAAGCAAATGAAACTTTTTTCAAGCAAATGAAACCTTTTTTCAAACAACTGAATTTTTTTTTTCAAGCAAATGGAACTTTTTTCAAACAATTGAAACTTTTTTTCGAGCAAATAAACCGTTTTTTCAAGCAAATGAAACTTTTTTTCGAGCAAATGAAACCTTTTTTTCAAACAATTGAAACTTTTACAAGCAGATGAAACCTTTTTTCAAACAATTGAAACTTTCTCGAGCAAATGAAACCGTTTTTTCAAGCAAATGAAACTTTTTTTCGAGCAAATGAAACCGTTTTTTCAAGCAAATGAAACCTTTTTTCAAACAATTGAAACTTTTACAAGCAGATGAAACCTTTTTTCAAAAATTGAAACTTTGTTTGTTCAATTGTTTGAAAAAAGTTTCAATTGCTTGGAAAAAGGTTTCATTTTTTTGAAAAAAAGGTTTAATTGACTGGAAAATGCTACATTAGTGGCATCGCTGTAACACTTTTGGAGAAGCTCAGGTTAGTTAAATGAGGTTAGTTAAATATAATATTATTATTATATAATTGTGAGCGCCCAAAATGCCGATTAAAATTACGGCCACGGATCTTCGCTCTTGACGGCTTGAATTCCTGGTGACGTCTGATGATGATTTGAGGACTGAGTCGGTTTTCCAGGAAATTTAGTGGTTTTGCCGTGATGATGGCCTTAAAATAGGTCGAAATCTTGGCGATAACAACGGAATTTGGGTTTTTCTTCGATAATACCTTGATCCAGAGTTTTCGACACATTCTGTTGTTAGAGAATGGAATTGACCTACTATTTGTTTTTACTATAAAGCTCCACTTTTCGTTTGTTTTTAAATGCATGAACCTGGCATCTTTTCCTACAAAAGTACAGCGGTGATAAACACGAATTCCTATTGATTTTCAAACCCGTTGGTTCATGTTTGGTCTTTCACGTTTACAAATGAAAATATAAACGACTGGCCTGAAATTGTCCTAAGTTGAATTAGGTAAGTTCATCGTGAGAATTGCCTAAGGAAATCTTCCTTGTTCACCCGTTTCCTCTTTTGTAAGGATTTAGACCATTTATTATGCTTCTTTAATCCTCTGGGTGAGCAGGCAAACCTTTTACTCTTATTTGAGCCGCGATGACTGTAAAAAAAAATCTTGTGAGAAAATATTTCTAAACTTTCTACCCTGGAAATCTAATGCGAACTGTGCTCTTTATGCAACTCTCAAGGGTAAAGGAAGTTTTCACTTTGTGTCTGAATGTTCAATTTTATCAGAATATCATTCCGCTCTAGGTGTCCCCAACCTTCCATTTTTTTTGTTTATAAAGATTCTGAATGTTAGGCAAAAATTATAAACCCTTTGGACACTACGCGCGCGATGCTTGGCAATATCGGTATCAATTGATTCAACAATTCAATTGTGATAACTTTTCAAAGAAAGAGAAGGAAAAAAGTTGTTTTATTTTCCTCTGGCTAAGATATATTATATTGTGTTTACATTTACTTCATTATTATAATTATGTCATTACTTATATTTAACTATTTATCTACCATTGAAGTATTTTTCTTTTTTTTCTCTTATTGCACACTTTCAGTTAATTCCCCGACAAATGTACGTCACTTTTGTAATATGTACCTGTTTTTTTGTAAACCTTTAATTGTAATTATAGTCCTGAAATCATCACCAGACGTCATCAGGAGTTCAAGCCGTCAAGAGCGAAAATCCGTGGCCGTAATTTTAATCGGCGTTTTGGGTTTATTTCGTGGTCCGATTGACCAAATAACTTCTTTCAATTAATTAATCCTTTTATATAAGGTTTTGGTTGAAATGAAAACGCTAGTGCCATGAGCGGGATTCGAACCTTCGACCTTCGGCCAATTCATAATCGCCGAGGATCGAAGCCTGATTACACGAAATTTGAAAAATGGCAAAAACGAGGGAAAATTCGAAAGGTTGTAGGTTGAGATGAGTTGGTGTCCGAGTGGATCGAAGTCACGTTAGATCAAGTGGTTGAGCAGCGGCGTATTTAGCCGAAGGTCGTGGGTTCGAATCCCGCTCATGGCACTAACTTTTTCATTTCAACCAAAACCTTACATAAAAGGATTAAATAATTAATAATAGCAATGGACTAGAGTTCATTAAGAGTTAAAATATATTATTGCATATGTGGTGATTCACTAATCGTAGGATAAATTTCATCAGGTTCAAACTTCAAATGCAACAAGAAAATTCGTATGAATTCAAGTATCCACGGCTTTCGTTATAAATCAATTTGTAGCTATTCTTGTGGAAATAAGAAAACATCAAAAAGGGCGTTAAATTTCTATTAAGAATTATTTTAAAATTTGTATAATTCAACTTAAAAATCAACCAAAAAAACAAAAAAGAGCCAATAAACATAGTGAATAACCAAAGAGAAAAAAACGTTGAATATTATTTTTGTCCACTTTTTTGTTAGGTTAAAGTTGGATTTTACAACTTCTGTATTTTTTTTTTTTTTTTGGTCTGTGTTTAGTGTGGATATTATTAACTCTTTTTCTATTTTTTTGTTTCATTTTTATTTCTTTTTATGCTTTGTTTATTAAGTTCAAGATGGAAAATAAATCAGACAAAAAAATAAAAAGAGCCAACAAACATAGTGATCACCCAAAGCGAAAAAATCGTTGAATATTATTTTTTACAATTTTTTGTTAGGCTAAAGTTGGATGTTACAACTTCCGTATTTTTTTTTGGTCTGTTTAGTGTGGACATTTTGTCCAATTTTTTGTTTTGGTTCTTCGCTATGTTATTATCTCTTTTTCTGTGTTTTGTTTCATTTTTCTTTGTTTTCAAGCTTTGTTTATTAAGTTCAAGATAGAAAATAAATCAGCCAAAAAAATATAAAAGAGACAATAAACATAGCAAACAACCAAAGCGAAAAACAGTTGAATATTATTTTTTCTATTTTTTGTTAGGTTAAAGTTGGATTTTACAACTTCTGTATTTTTTTTGGTCTGTGTTTAGTGTGGATATTTTGTCCAATTTTTCTGCTTTGGTTCTTCGCTATGTTAGTATCTCGTTTTCTGTGTTTTGTTTCATTTTTCTTTGTTTTCAAGCTTTGTTTATTAAGTTCAAGATAGAAAATAAATCAGCCAAAAAAATATAAAAGAGACAATAAACATATTGAACAACGAAAGCAAAAAAAAAGTTGAATATTATGTTTTAAAATTTTTTGTTAGGTTAAAGTTGGATTTTCCAACTTCAGTATTTTTTTATATATGTTTAGAGTGGATATTTTGTCCAATTTTTCTGCTTTGGTTCTTCGCTATGTTAGTATCTCTTTTTCTGTGTTTTGTTTCATTTTTCTCCCTTTTTGTGCTTTGTCTATTAAATTCAAGGTGGAAAATAATCATCCAAAAAAAATAAAAAAGTGCCAATAAACATATTGAACAACGAAAGCAAAAAAAAAGTTGAATATTGTTTTACAATTTTTTGTTAGGTTAAAGTTGGATTTTACAACTTCAGTATTTTTTTATATATGTTTAGAGTGGATATTTTGTCCAATTTTTCTGCTTTGGTTCTTCGCTTTGTTAGTATCTCTTTTTCTGTGTTTTGTTTAATTTTGCTTTCTTTTTGTCCTTTGTTTATTAAATTCAAGGTGGAAAATAATCATCCAAAAAAATAAAAAAGTGCCAACAAACATATTGAACAACCAAAGCAAAAAAAAAGTTGTATATTATGTTTTACAATTTTTTGTGAGGTTAAAGTTGGATTTTACAACTTCTGTATTGTTTTTTTGGTCTATGTTAGAAATAGATTAATTGAAAGAAGTTATTTGGTCAATCGGACCACAAAACATCCAAAAAAATAAAAAGTGCCTTTAGTATAAAATTTTGATTCGACGCAATTAAAGGAAAGTGTATACATATAGTAAATTTAAAGTTCTTGAAGTTTCTTGATGAAAATTTAATGCTCGTCGCAATGCTCGACCCCCAACAATGAATAGTTCAAGAGCTACAAGTAGATTTATGATGAAAACCCTAGATCGTTGAAAAAAAACATAAAATGGTGAATATCTACGAAAGGGTTGAAAATAGGACCATGGTCAATATAAACGTTTTAGTTCCATTTGAGGTGTAGAACCTCCTGATCAATTTTTTCGTACGAGTAGTGTATAACCCTGTATATAAAAAATAGCCAACTCCTCAAATTGTCCTTGAAAGGATTGTCTTTCTACTTATTCTCTATTTTGTCTACTACTTATATACTCCTATTATATAAATAGACAAATTAAGACTTTTTTATTATAGGCCCTTATTATTGTTTATAACTGAGTAAGTAGCGAAAATAAACGAATTCAACAGATACTTTCTTATTTCGAAAAATATACCGTTGCAAAAATCAAAAGACTGAATATTAATTTTTGCGAGCAGGATCGAAGTCACGATAGCTCAAGTGGCAGAGCAGCGTATTTAGCCGAAGGTCGTGGGTTCGAATCCCGCTCGTGGGACTGACGTTTTCATTTCAACCAATACTAAATATAATAGGGCCATAACTTAACTTTTATTACTTCTTGTTGAAGAAAAGAGTCGTCAATAGTACCTCGATTAATTATAATCGATTATATTTATTTATTTATTATTTCTCTCTTTATTATTTTACAAGTGCACAATTGATGTTTTATTTACTTGTGCTTTGTACCGCCTCCTCCAAGCGAGCAGTTGCAGAGATTGGTGCCTGTGCCTCTCCCTCAGCTCCCTGATCATCTTCCTGGCCTCCTCCAACGTCTCGACCCCCTCGTTGCCGAGCTCCTCGTCATCTTTCGTCCTAAACAAAAACGTATCGTGTCAAAATAATAATAAAAAATAAATAAATTTAAAAATCACATGATTTAAAACAACACGGAGGAAAAACATCTGTCTCACCATGTATAAATCTCTTTGGGCAAAAATACTAAAATACAGCAAATTTTCACAATACTTGAGGTAAGTAATAATAATACTCGATGTCTTGTTAAAACGCCATGATGTGATACCAGATGATGAATGTTACGGTGAGGATCGATCAGTTTTTTCAATGTTGAAGAGGATCAGGTTTTTGGTCTTAAATGAATCGAGCAACTTTGGTCAAAAATCCGCCCTGATGATGCGACTACATGTCGCGAAAGCTCGGCGAATTGTTGATTTGTAACTTCATTCAAGACCATAAACCTGATCCTCTTCAACATTGAAAAAAAAAAAAAAAAAAAAACTGGTCGATCCTCTCCGTAACATTCCTTATCTTTTATACAAAATATTTATTGATTTTTTTAAGGGTGAGGACCTGCGAAATTAAACATATCCAAACTAGATTTTATTAAAATTTATTTGTAGAATTTAAACTTGGACTGCAACACTATGCGACGCCTACGTTTTGGTAGGGTGTGCACATCTATGCGACGTCAAGCGCACGCCACGTACAGTCACACAGCGTATATCACAATGTGTGGTGATTAGTGACCGCTAATCGATATTTATTTAGAAATCGTGAGATGCGGTCTGGTGTGACGTAGGTTTTCGAAAAACATTTTCTTTATCGAGCCAACGTTTCGATCTTTATTGAGATCATCTTCAGGGCCTGGGATTTACAAACATTGTTTACATATTACAATTACATTTTGGATGTGGAAAAGTGAATTTATACATTGTATAAATTCACTTTTCCACATCCAAAATGTAATTGTAATAAGTAAACAATGTTTGTAAATCCCAGGCCCGAAGATGATCTCAATAAAGATCAAAACGTTGGCACGATAAAGAAAATTACAATTAATTAAGGTTTTTAGTCGAGATGAAAAAAAGCTAATGGCACGAAAGGGATTCGAACTCACGACCTTCGGCTAGATACGCCGCTGCTCTACCACCTGAGCTATCGTGACCTCGATCCACTCGGACATCAACTCCCTATCTCAACCCCACCTTATGAGTTTTCCCTCCTTTTGCCATTTTTCAAATGTCGTGTAATCGGTTTCGTCATAAATCTACTTGTAGCTCTTGAACTATTCATTGTTGGGGGTCGAGCATTGCGACGAGCGTTAAATTTTCATCAAGAAACTTCAAGAACTTTAAATTTACTATATGTATACCCTTTCCTTTAATTGCGTCGAATCAAAATTTTATACTAAAGGCACTTTTTTATTTTTTTGGATGATTTATTTTCCACCTTGAATTTAATAAACAAAACCCCAAAAGTAAGAAAAAAGAAAGAAAAATGAAACAAAACAAGGAAAAAGAGATAATAACACAGCGAACAACCAAAGCAGAAAAATTGGACAAAATATCCACTCTAAACATAGACAAAACATACAGAAGTAGTAAAATCCAACTTTAACCTTACAAAAAACATGAAAAAATATTCAACGTTGTGTTTGCTTTGATTGTTCACTATATTTGTTGGCTCTTTATTTTTTTGGCTGATTTATTTTCCATCTTGAACTTAATAAACAAAGCATAAAAAAAAGAAAAATGAAACAAAACACAGAAAAAGAGAAAATAACGTAGCGAAGAACCAAAGCAAAAAATTGGACAAAATTTCCACACTAAACACAGACCAACAAAAAAAAAAAAAAAAAAAAAAAAAAAAAAACAGAAGTTGTAACATCCAACTTTAGCCTAACAAAAAATTGGAAAAAATAATATTCAACTTTTTTATTTTGCTTTGGTTGTTCAATATGTTTATTGGCACTTTTATTTTTTTGGATGATTTATTTTCCACCTTGAATTTAATAAACAAAGCACAAAAAGAAAGAAAAATGAAACAAAACACGGAAAAAGAGATAATAATACAGCGAACAACCAAAGCAGAAAAATTGGACAAAATATCTACTCTAAACATAGATAAAAAAAAAATACAGAAGTAGTAAAATCCAACTTTAACCTTACACAAAATTACAATTAATTAAGGTTTTTAGTTGAGATGAAAAAAAGCTAATGGCACGAGAGGGATTCGAACCCACGGCCTTCGGCTTGATACGCCGCTGCTCTACCACCTGAGCTATCGTGACCTCGATCCACTCGGACATCAACTCCCCATCTCAACCCCACCTTATGAGTTTTCCCTCCTTTTGCCATTTTTCAAATGTCGTGTAATCGGTTTGGATTCTCGACGACAATTGAAATGGCGACGGAGAGCCTTAGTGAAGTGTACTTCATTTTAATCATTAAATTCACTAATTTCGTGGTCCGCTTGACCAATTAAACATTACAATTAATTAAGGTTTAGGTTATCAAAACCGATTACACGACATTTGAAAAATGGCAAAAGGAGGGAAAACTCATAAGGTGGGGTTGAGATGGGGAGTTGATGTCCGAGTGGATCGAAGTCACGATAGCTCAGGTGGTAGAGCAGCGGCGTATCTAGCCGAAGGTCGTGGGTTCGAATCCCTCTCGTGCCATTAGCTTTTTTTCATCTCAACTAAAAACCTTAATTAATTGTAATGTTTAATTGATCAAGCGGACCACGAAATTAGTGAAGATAAAAAAAATGTTTTTCTGAAACCTACATCACACCAGACCGCATCTCACGATTTCTAAATAAATATGTATATCACAATAATCAGTATGACAATCGGAACGCCCCTTTTGTTCTTAATGCATTATTTTGAACAAAACCTTTTTATAAATTGTTAGTTAAATTTTATGAGCACAACCATGTAATAATTTTTTTTTTTTTGGGGGGGGGGTTTACGTTTTCTATTTTCATTTTACTGTCGAGCGTGATCGGCCGACCAGGGCCAGGGCCGCGCCGCGCGCCAGCACCACTCATTCAGCTCCATCATATTCTCATCTTCTAAATTTTCATGCTTGAATATAATCAAAAAGAAACGTTTATCGACTTTAGAAATCCACAGATTATGTTGAAAGCTGATGGATTGTTGCTTATTAGGACAGATTCTAAGTTTATTGGTTTGGAAATGTTTGGGACTTTGCTCAGATTTTTTAGCAGTTTGTCTCTTTCATTTTTGTATTCTGGACATTCTAAAATTATGTGGGAAGGATTTGAAGGGCAATCGCAAGTGGGACAGTTCGGAGACGATGCCAAACCGATTCTCGTCTTGTAGCTACCCCATCCTTTGACATTCCTTCTGCGGTATCGCCTTCCGAAAACCATGGTTTTTTCTTGAGCTCAGGGAACAGTGACCTGTAATAATTGCCAACATTTGATGCGTTGTATTTTTCTTGCCACAGATTTCTACAACACTTTTTCAAAAAGTTTTTCCCGTCATCTTTAGGAATTTTAATGTCAAGGGTTGGACCTGATGTTGCAGCCTCCTTTGCAGGTGCGTCGACCGTTTCATTTTGCCATAAGCCTGCATGCCCTTTCACCCAACACAATGCCACCCTTTTTCCCATTATTTTTGTCTCAAGCATTTTCCTCCAGATTTGGGCAAAAATATATTTTCTGCATTTATATTCTGGGGTAATGTTATTCATCCTTTCTACAATGCTTCGACAGTCTGTGATCTCATTTAATTTGGTATGTATTAAAATAAGCATGTTGTAATTAATATAACGACATAATTACATATACATAGTTTGAAATAAACTACAAAAAATATGAATGTCTTGTTCTGACGCTACTCGACGGAAATTACATAATTTTATGAGCAAAACCATGAAATAAATTGTTAGTTAAATTTTATGAGCAAAATCGTGTAATAAATTGTTGTTGTTAGTTAAATTCATTATATCAAAAAATGGTATTCCGGTGTTTTGATCAATTTTCTACCAAACCATTAAAATTAATAATAAAAAAACCTAATGGAATTTTTGATCTCGCTCAATTTATGAGAATGAAAGTATGAGTGTCCGGTTCTTTTGTCTTCGACTGTACTCGATGCGACCCGACGAAAATCTGGAGAGTGGGGATCGCGTAGCGTAGAGTAGGGTAGCGTAGCATGGAATCTGACAGATCTGCACGGGAGTAATACAATCTTATGGAAAATTGGACTTTGGATTTGCATCGGGTAGCGTCGCATAGCGTTGCATCAGGTGTGTTCCCGGCTTTAAGGACTTAGATTATGAACCGCACCCTCCATATTCACCCCTCTCGCCTACAGACTTCTACTTTTTTGGTATTTCATCACTCCTTGAGGGATAAAATTTTTACAAAAAACCGTAAAGCCTTCCAAGACTTTATTGTGAGTGGAAAAAACGATTTTTAACGGGAATAAGAGCGCATATTACACGTTTGCAAAGATGTGTAGATCGTAATGTAATATATTTCGAATACATTTTCTTTATTTTATAAAAGTTAAAAATAGTTTTGTCTGCGTTTTCAAAACTTGCATTATTTTTGCACCAGCTCAATAATTTCAGTAAATGTTAGGACTTAAAAAATGAAAACTAAGCCGTGTTATTTGTGGCTAAAAAAAACTTTTATTCCTTAAACGGTTTTATTTCAGTTTGAAGAATAGTTTTCCACAGCCGGCTATTTCGGTAATCATCTTTAAATTATTTTAAATTCACTTTTCAGATCTACAGACTTTCTCAAAGAAATCCAATCGGGTTCTTTTCCGACGAAAAAAATACAGGGCCACACGATGATGCGTAAACTAAACGTGCATCTTGCGACGTTCGCCTGTCTCATCATGAGCGGCGGGACTGCTGTCGTAATCGGCGTGAAGAAGTCCTGGGACAACTACGTATGCTCTCAGCTCGGCATTCCCAGATTCGGAGATTTGAAGCCAGTGCCCGACTTTCCAGACTTAACACTGCCGTCTGAGTATTTTAAATAAAGTCCGCGTTTCATACTTCAATATTATTTGTTCAATTTCTTAAGTTTTTAAGAGGAAAGCGAGCTAGGATACATTGTTCAGTAAGTAGAAAATAGCCTAGATATATTGTACAGTTTAGGTACTTCACTGTCATAAGGAACTCCTCGGATTATGGACCTTTAACCAGGATAACCTGAATTAGCGATCGTTAACAATCCGTAGGACTGCATAAAGGTTAATCATACGTTGGAATGTCATCTTTCAGTCCGGCATTATAGAAGCATACAAACTCTATGAATTACAGTTAATTAAGGTTTTTAGTTGAGATAAAAAAGTCAATGGCACGAGCGGGATTCGAACCCACGACCTTCGGGTTGATACGCCGCTGCTCTACCACTTGAGCTATCGTGACCTCGATCCATTCGGACACCAACCTCCCATCTCAACCACACCTTTTGAATTTTCCCTCCTTTTTGCCATTTTTCAAATGTCGTGTAATCAATTTGATTCTCGGCGACAAATGAAATGGCCACGGAGAGCTTAAGTGACGTATACTTCATTTTAAACTTATTAAATTCACTAGTTTCATGGTCCGCTTGACCAATTAATATCATACAATTAATTAAGGTTTTTAGTTGAGATAAAAAATGGCAAAAAGGAGGGAAAATTTAAAAGGTTGAGAGGGGAAGTTGGTGCCCGAGTGGATCGAAGTCGCGATAGCTCAAGTGGCAGAGTAGCGGCATATCAAGCCGAAGATCGTGGGTTCGAATCCCGCTCGTGCCATTGACTTTTTTATCTCAACTAAAAACCTTAATTGTATGATATTACTTGGTCAAGCGGACCACGAAACTAGTGAATCTATGAATTACGTTGGTCACGCTCCGCCTCCCGGGTAAATGACAGGTTCGTCCTAGACCTTATAGCCCGTTTGTACACCTTTTTCCAAGCAGGCGAGACGAAAGGGGAGACGTCTTGACAGAAGGCTGAACGCCGATTGTTATAAGAAAATTGATTGACATGGGGCTCAACATAAAATAATTCATCCTCCAGTAGACCAATTTTTCCCAAGATGAACGCGCGAGTCCAAGAAAGACTGGGCATGAAACGTGGTCAGGAGAATTTCATATTTAATTATCGTTTGAAACCCTTGGTAAAATTCTCCAGTATTGATTCTAAACAATAACGCTTTATTTTGAGGGTGCCCTGAAGCGGGATGATGAAACTGTAGCTTGGTCGTTTACGATCGTCACGCTTTGTCCCCGTCAACATGATTTGGCCTTTTCCCCATCATCGGTGCAAACGGTATTAACCAACCAATGATGATGACAGATCGAAACATTTTTGATTAGCAAACTAAGTTATCGGAAACGACCAAGGATGTTTTAACTGTAGTTTGGTTATAATGTGGTACTTTTATGGGCCGACAAACAGCTGAGGTCATCGCCATCCCTCTGCGGTCTTTCTCGCGTATTTTGTTTCAAACTGCAGCATTTTGTGCCTCAGGTATCAACTACATAATAGTAACAAAACATACAATACATGTTGGTATAGTCTGGCTTACTGTACCTTCCCAGTTCCTAAGTTCAGTGCAATAGATTCAATCCTTCTCCTTAGCAGTATCAGGTCATTGACTGTCACTGCTACAATTTCATTCCCTAGATTTTTTTCGTATGTTAGGTTAAATCTCCTCCTCCTCCATAATCTGCAGATGGGATCATGCCGTATAGATGTTTTCACAGATGCCAGTGACCGGTTAGTAGTCCTACCATTCCTCTGAGTTTTGCCCTTTCCAATTGCAACAGTGATTTTGGCAGTTTTGGTGAGAGTTGTTTCATCATAAGTTTACTGTGTCTAGCGCGTTAGAGCTTATCCACTTCCCATTTTGTTTTGTTTGGATCCATTCTGCGATGGAAGAATCCTATGAATGGTCTTGCAGATCCACCTCTGGCCAGTCTGTCTGCTTTCTCGTTACCGAAAATTCCCCTCTGCCCTGGCACCCAAGATATCATCAGGTTGTTGTGTTTCCCCAGGTTTTGGAGATTTTGGATGCATTTACGGGTTAATTTTGATGCGATATTTTACATGCTAATGCTTCAATAGCTGCTTGGCTATGAGATCTTATGAGGATGTTTTTGACAGTGTAACCTCTTTTAAGATTTTCAAGGGCACAAGCATTGACAGCATATTTCTGCTTGAAAAACTCAAGTGTACTTCCCTAATGAGTTTGATTGCTCATGTTTTTCGGCTTGTACAGAAGATGCCCGATCCGGTTTCTTCGTTTGTTTTGGGGCCATCTGTATACCAAATCATTGTGTCCGATGCTCTCCTGTGTTCTTCCTATCCTTTATAGTCCGTTGAGACTTTATAGGATAGGATCATATCATCAGTTTTCGGGATCATATAGTCAGTCCGCATTTCTAAACGGTTAATTTTGTTGATTATGTTTGTATGCCCGATTGTTTAGTTCCTATCCAAATTGATTGTTTTTGAAGACTAAATCAGATTTTCCTAGGCTCTCTTTGTGTAAATATTTCCAGTGGAAGTAGGTTTAGCAGAGTTTCTAGTGCACGAGGGGTTGTTCTTATCGCTCCTGCGATACATACCTTGTTTGCTGCTTGAACTGCTACAGTTTTTGATCTTTGGTCCACAGGTTTTTTTGGGTCTTATTACGCAATAAATATTTATACATCGCCATGCATATGCTAGAAACATATTAATCTTGTCACACCTCTTCCAAAGTTTGATATTCGGTGGGACGGGGTCATCCACTTCTTTCACGCTAATAAATTATATTCATTCCAATAAATTAACATAAACACAACACACGATAGAAACGTAGAAGTCTGGTTAGGCTTATTTTGTAGAAAAAATATGACATGGTTTCTTAAAGTTTAAACTGAGAAAATAGTGGGAGAAGTGAAAAATTATATTAAAACGTTGCCTTTACCATCCCTCTATCTTTTTTTCACATTCTACGCCATTAAAATTGTATAAGTCCTTCTATCTCACACACTTCAGCCAAAACTTTTGAAATATTATAGGGATACATAAATCTAACTAAAACTTTATTGAATGTGAAATTTTTCTTCTTCAGGCCTGCGTTGTTATTAATTTGTGATGACCAGTTTCCGATCATCCTGGCCGACATGAAGCCAAAATTTGTGGTTTGTATGTTTGTTGGTTTCATTTATTTTGGCATCGTTTGTATTTGTGTTGGTTTTATTTGTCTGTCGCCGTTTTTTACTGACTTGGTTGGCAGATTAAGACGATTAGAAAAATCTGAAATGCAGGTCATCTCACAGGCAATCAACAGGAAATTAGTTAGATTGTTTAATTTTTAAAAAATGCAGTTTCTTTAATGCATGTTTATTATAACGAAATAATTAAATATTTTGTCGCTTCAATAAAAATAAAAATTAAAGTCAATCTTTTGATTTGTCAATAAAATACGTAACAATATGCCAAAAGGCCCAACCAGCGAGAACAGACGGACCGGAGATCGCTTCAAAACCCAATCACATTAGCGTCTCTCCTGCCCTTTCATGATTTCCCTGACTGTAATTTTATCTTTAAGTGATATTTGCTAACTTTCGCCCTTTGGGCCCCGTTTTATCGGCCCTTCATTATTCAGTATTCATTCTCCCCGTTTCGATTAATGGTCGCATTAGTACAGATTAATCCAAAACCCCACCCTCTTGGGTTAATTACACCGACTGCCACGAAGTATCTCTAAGCTCCAAGGTACTCAAGAGGGGCTGGTTTAATGTTAAGTACAATAATGTCTTCATAAATCCACGTTTCGCAGACATACACGAGAAATGTTTCGGAATGAGCCAAGCGGTCATTTAGCGGAGGAAGATAAATTCCTTCTTTTATAAAATATAAAATTACCTTTAAAAAATATATCTCAAAATCTCTATATGTATCTTAAATTAACACAATTATAACCATTATTACATTAAAATCTTGCTATTTACAAGTGATTGAAAAGCAAAGACATACATACATACATAGACATACATACAAATAATGTTGTAATTAGTGACATCAGTGAATATAACACAAGACACAATTCATTGGCTAACTCACATTTTTACAATGTAAAAACTAAGCATTATTAAATTTTTCATTCAATATAGCACTTCATTTATTTTATAAAGAGAAGATCATTATTCAAAATTTTAAAAACTACAAAGAAGGCAAAAAATTTATAATTTCAAAACTTTAAATTGCAGTTAAGATATTTTAAAGCCAAGATTTAATTGGTTTTGTTTTTTTACTACACGTTTATTCTGTATTATGTTTGTTTATTTGTTTAGTTGTAAAGATATATTCTGTTTATTTCTTTGATGATCTCCAAAAATTCCTGCTGTCTAGTACAAGCTTTGCTTTTTGACAGCAGGCAGGGATGTACCAAAATAGTATGTTTTGTTATAAATTTCTATGCAATGTACATTCTTGCAGAATTATTATTATTATTATACCGAAAGCGAAGGCAAAACAACGAAGGAGATGGCATGTTGGTTAGGATAGAAAATAAACAAAATCCGACTTGCATAATAAATTGGATTTCTCTTTCACCAGGCTGAGAATAGGTCACCTCAAAACGCATAATAGAGTTTCCATAACAAACCCACAAGGAAACAATCAGGAAGATAACGTTTTCCCGTAATGGCAAGAGGTAATATTTATTACAAATAATATCCGTATGAAATAATAATTTATTATTGTTTGAGCGTATAATCTTGGAACCTTATCGTTAGCACAAACGTTTGTCTAAACGGCCTGGGCTAGAAGATAAATGGAAAAGTTATTTATTATTTGATTGGTGTAATTTTTAAAATTGCTAAAAATACTAACAAAATTTATCATTATGATAAAATTTACAAAAATAAAATCCAAATGAAATAATTATTATAGCCATCATTTATCCATTTATGTAGTACAATATAATGTTTTTCTTATCATACTGTCAATTTGTGCTGAATATAAATATTTGGCATGAGAACATTAAGTATTTTAAACATCTGGACGACAGTTGC